CGAAATGAGCTGTTAGATGTCAGCAGATGTCCACGCCAGCAAAGCCCCCTGGGGCGAGCATGGTGCAGGGAGAGGAGCCTGCCTGGGGCCAACCACACAGAGGCCCGGGCTCCTCACTTTTCTGGGGGTCACCTGAGACCGTCCCACAAATGGCGGAATGATGAGCTAATTTAGAAGCAGGGGCTCCACCGATCCAAGGAATGACGAGGGGGAACATGATAGCTTTGGCAGAATCCTAGGAACTCGAGACTTAAGCTCTGATGAGCTCCTAAGAGAGGGCCCATCTGCCCTGACAGCTGTCGGTGGCTATTCTGGACGACAGCAGTCTCGGGGTCCGAGAACTCGTGGCACCCATACCCCAGGAGGGAAGCAGAACCATCCATCGTCCACTCCCAGACCAGGCCCCCCAGATGGCCGAATGGGATCCCCCTTGTGGTGCCAGATGGGAGACTTCCATGTCTTCTGGGAAGTCCTAGAAACGCGCAGTCAGCTTCTACCCAGGCGCTGACCCCTGACTCACATTAGCAAGCGCGTCAGTCTGACACCCTGAGGATGCGTGTTGAAAGTTGAGTCCCTGGGCCCCTTCCCCCGGCCTCCACCAAGGCCCAGGCAAGGCTTCCTGCAGGGCTGGATGCGAGATGTAAAATGCTAGTGCCCTGAGGCCCGTTATCTGGTTCAGCTGGCAGCCGGGGCTCTGAGAGTTGGGAAGCACGACTAGCATCAGGGAAAAGGACTAGGGCTACACAGACAAATCTGGGGTTCAGCCGGTAGAGCTGATGACACCCCAAGACATCAACACTGGGCTGGGCAGGAACAGAGACAGACCAGAGCCCAGAGCTAGGCCAGACACCCACGATCAGGGCCAGGAAACGGCTGATGACCCAGCAAAGGAGACTGAGAAGGAGAGAGCTGAAGGGAGTGTGTATTCAAAAGGGAGGGGCGGTCAACAGGGTCCAAGTCTACAGGGAGGTCAAGAAGGAGGAGCACAGGGCCAAGGCCCCCACAGGTGTAGAAAATCAAAGGCAGACTACGACAAGAGATTTAGGGCTTGGGGGGCCTCAGAGGCCATGCCGTCCAATCTCCTCAGTTCATAGGTGAGGCAAACTGAGGCCCGGCAGAGGACAGTGACTTAGCCACGGTCACCCAGCAGGTAAGAGGCAGAACTGGAATGTGCACCTGGGTCCTCAGACTCCAAGCCCAGAGGTTTTTCCACCCCCTCAGCTATCTCCCGAGAGGGGTGCCGGGCTTGTCTGGCACATGGATGGCCCCTTGGCACAAACTTTCAGGAGGTCACCCACAGGGCTGGTAAAACCCTCTGACTCCCAGGCAGGGACCTGAAGGCCTCTGGACAGCCTGCGCAGTGGCCCCCGAGCCTCAGAAGCAGCCCGCTCCAGAGAACCAGGGGCTACCCTGCCCTCACTTCCTTCACAGAGCAGCACACGCCGTCTGGCTGCTCTTCCTGGCGCCCCTTCCCGCAGGGTGGTGCCAGCCTCGGGTGGGGGCTGAGCTTATCAGATCAGACTCATTTCCTTCAGAGGCTCAGATGTGATTGTCTCGGTTTCCAGAAACGCTCCCTAGAGACGCTGGGTGTGGTGAGGCAAAAGCAAGCCTTCCCCATCATAAATGCCCAGCAGGTCTGGACAAGGGACGGAGAACAACAGGTTGATGCACGAACCTCAGATGGTGGCCTGAGCCAAGCCTCAGCAAGTCCCACACGTCCCAGCCAAGCACCCTTGGCTGCCCATTCTCCTGGGGCCAGGGAAGAGAAATTCCCTGACTGAGTGGGTTTGCTGGTCTTGGACTTTGGATCATTCTGTGCCTGAGCTGGGACCCAAGTGTCCTGCCCCGCGGTCATTGTTTCGGGCTCAAGTGAAGCAGGGGGTGGCACGCTGGGCCAGGGAGAGCTGGGAATACTGCCAGCCCCCACTTCTGAGGTTTACAAAGGGCTCTTCTCACCAGGGCCCTGCTAAGTGAGTAAAACCAGCCGAGGTGGCAGTAAGGCTTGAGGGTGCACAGGGTGATCTACACCCATCACCTCCCAGGACCACAGAGCACGGGACGCAACGTGGGTGCATCAGAGGGTCAATGCCTGGGTTACGGCCAGGCCATGGTACAACGAGTTTTCCTCCTCGGGTGGGCAGCCTGAGTCCCCTGACTCACTACTGGTAGCCTCAGGCTGTTACGAGAAAGTGAGGAAGGCCCGAGTTCACTCCCACAAGTCGTGGCTACCCAGTGCTGAGGCCACAAAGACAAGATGAAAACCAGGCCCAGGCCTGAAAGAGCGTCTGTCTGCTGGGGGACACAATGCAAGGAAGAGGCCACACTAACAATGAACGGGCTCAGGAAAGGCTTCCCAAGGGCAGGCAGTGAACACAAATATTCATAAAATACCTCCTCTGTGCTGGGCATGGTGATAGGTGTGCGTAAGTAAAGACCAAAAATAAAGTAACCAGTGAGTGCAAAGAGAGGAGAGAGTGTGCTCCAGGCATGAGGGACAGCCCGTGCAAAGGCAAGGAGGCTGGAGATGAGTTTGGCTGGAATGTGGAGTGCATGAAGGGGAATGGGAAGGAAGTTTAGAAAGGCAGGCCGCAGCCAGACTGTCAAGGGTCCTAGAGAGCAAATGAAAGTGTTTTTCATCTTGTCTTAAAAACAGCAGGAGCTGCAGAGAATTTCTGAGAGGAAATGATATTGTTGGACCTGCACAGTGGGAAGATTATCTTGCTAGATACATGGAGGGCAGTTTGGAAAGAGGAAAGCCTGGAACCAAGGATTCAATGAGAAGGTTATTTCAAACATTCTGGGAAAAGGGGACGAAGATGCAAAGTAGGGTGTCAGCTACGTGACTGGAGAGGAGGGATGGACAGGAGAGACGCTGCTGCTGAGTGGTCGTGGAAGGGGTGGGGCGAGAGTCAAGGATGCCTCAGAATCTGCCAACCCACGGACTGGAAGGCTGGTGCCCTCGACAGAAACAGGGAGAGGACAGTCTGGGGGTGGCCTGTGGAGACATGTCCTGGGACATCCAGGCAGTGGAGGCTGGGCTGGAGTTTATCCACGTGCACATGCGTGTTCCTTAAACCCAAGGGTGCTCACAACAACACGAATCACAAGCATTTGTTATGTGCTTATTATGCACCAGACACTATGATAGACAGGGGGGAGCTAGCAGACCCGAGGTCAAATCCAGCCTCAGACACGTGACAGATGTGTGACCCTGGGCAAGTCACTTCACCCTGTCTGCCTCATGTTTTGTCATCTGTAAAATGAAGTAGAGAAAGAAATGGCAAACCATTCCAGTATCTCCGCCAAGAAAACCCAAATGGGGTCACAGAGTCAGATGTGACTGAAACAACTCAACAAATAAAAGCGTGCCAGGCGAGTCCAGAGACAGAACCTTGGGACAGACGTCCAGGGTTAAGGGGCAGGAGATGAATCAAGATGCAGCACAGAAGGCTGAGGAGGCCAAATGAGGAGGAGGAGGCACAGGAGAGAGCGGGGGCTCTTACCAAGAAAGCAGGAGCTGAGAGGATGCCATCAGAAACTCCAACAACAAACAAAAATCACAACACAACAAGAGAGAAACCAGCAAACTACACCCTGATGAAAGGAGCCCTAGCCAGCCGACCAGAGCAACCCTGAACTTACATGCTCTAAATGCCACACCATCAAACTCGGGGAAATTTGGGGGGGGGGTTTCCCAATTACATTTAAAAATAATTTTCAACATTCACTTAAAAAATTTTGAATTCCAAATTTCCTCCCTCCCTCCCCATCTCCCTCTTTGAGAAGACGGGCAATGTGATACAGACGAAATCTAAATTCACGAAGGAAAGGTTAACTGAATCATGGGCAGACATAGAGTCACACATTAGTGGCAGGAGAGTTTAACGTCCCTCTCTCAGTCTTGGACAAAGGCCAAGAGGGGAGAAAGAACTCAAGTGAAAGGGGTGGTCGCCAGGGTCAGTCAGATGCAGCAGAGGTCAAGAATGACGGGCACCGGCCATCGCATTAGCCATTTCAAAACCAACAGAAACCGTGGAGAAAAGCATCAGCTGGGTAGTGAGGCCAAAGCCAGGGTACAAGCAATGGGCAGGAGGCAAGAAGCTAAAGGCAGCAATGTCGGCAGCTTCTTCCGAGGCTCCAGCCCTCAGTGGAAGGAGGAAGGTGTGGGACAATGGCCCGTGGGGAGGGAGGGTTTGGGGGAGCCCGGGCCTGGTGGGGAGCAGCCCAGAAGAGGGGGTAAGGGGAGGACCCGGGAGCCCCTGGAGGAGATGGGTAGGTAGGAGAGGGTCAAGGGGCCGAGGCGAGCTGCCGGCTTTGGCAAGGAGTGCCTACTTTGTCCAGACGGGAACAAAGGAGAAGGAAATGGGGGGAAGACATGGCAGGGTGTGGAGGCACGGCACAGAGAAGGCCTGTTTCCTTGCCGAGCAGGAACACCCCCAGGTCCTTTCCTCTCCAGTGCCCCATGACCGCAGGAGCCCCTCAGAGCGGGGTCTGCCCAGCCTCAGATTGAAAGTGGGAAGGACCTCAGAGGCCACTGAGGGCCTGTTTTACAGATGAGGAAACTGAGGCCCCACAAGGGGAACTGATGTGTTGGGGTTTTTGTTCAGTCATGTCGGACTCTATTTGGGGTTTTCTTGGCAAGGATGCTGGTGTGGTCTACCACTTCCTGCTCCAGCTCATTTCACAGATGATGAACGGAGGGGTGGGCACACAGAGTGAAGTGACTTGCCCAGGGTCCCACAGCTAGTAAGAGTCTGAAGCTGGATTTTAACTCACATCTTCCTGACTCCAGGCTGGGCGCTCCCTCCACTAGGCCACTTAGCTGGGGACCAGAGAGTTAACACGGAGCAGGGGGGGGGGTCAAGAACCCAGGCCGGCACTCTGCTCAAGACTTGGCCGAAGACGTCCCCCGAGCTGTCCCATAAACCTGGGCGGCAAACGGCTAGCCTGCTCTCAACGCCCCCTCTCCCCTCCCCTCCCCAGGGCCGGGTGGGCCTCACCTTCGCTGTCGGTGAGCACCTCCATGCGCCCGCTGAACATGGCCTTCAGCATGGTGTCCTGCTTGGTGAGGGTCTGCATGGTGGTGTAGTAGAGGGCGCCCCCCACATTGAGCTTCACGTACTTGGAGCTGGGGCTTGTCCCCTTGAAGGAAGTGGTGCGAGTGGAGGCTGCCGGCACCGCTGAGCTCACCACACTTTCTCCCGACATCTCTTCCTGCCGGAGGTGAGGAACACAGTCACACAGCAGCCTCGACAGGCCCGGGGAGCAGCCCCCACCAGTCAAGCCGAGCCTCAGGGGGCCCGGCAGATCATATACTGGGGCTCACGAGCAATGGCTGGACAGCAAGAGTTGGCTGTTCCTTAAAGCCGGGGAGCCTGGGAGCCGCTTTCCCATGGAAACAATTGTACTAATGGTGGCAATTACTATTATGGCACTAATAGGAGTAATTACTGTTCTAGGAACAGACTGGTGATAAACTAGAGAGCACAGCCACACCATAAACGAAAAAAGCTTTGGAGAACCTCCTGGGACCCTACCGACCATTCACAATGCTGCTGCTCCAGAGACAGGCGCCCGAATCATTGTGATACAGAGTCAGAACGACCTGGGAAAAATCCTGGCTTGGCCTTTCACTACAGGAGCAACTCAAAACAAGTCACTTCTGCCCTCTGGGTCTGTTTCTCCATCTGTAAAATGGGGGGCCTGGCCCAGGTCATTGCTGAGCTCCGTCCCTTCCAGCTCTAACCCCTTTGGTCACACGAGCTCCAAACAAGCGGTTTGTAAATGGCCTGTGCTTAGCGGGGGCTCCGTGGACCAGCTTGTCTGGCAGCCCCAGGGAGCCAAGCAAGCAGCTCATCAAATGGGGCCTGGCTTCAGAGCCTGGGCAGAGGATTCCAGGCCGGCCTATCATAAGGGCCCTCAGCCAGTTACACTAGGCCCTGGGGCTCCGGGTATTAAAAAGGTTTCCTTTCCTCACGCTCAGATTCTGAATAGCCTGAAAACAGCCTTCCTCAGACCTAATTAATCAATCAAATATTGATTAGGCACCTCTAATGCCAAGCATGGGGACAACCTCTGCTCTGGAGGGGCTAACCTGGGGGGGGGGAGCACCACAAATACAGCTAAATACAGACTAATTTTAAAGTTAATAAATGCTAAGACATACACAGCAGCTAAATAGTTTGGGGGAGGACACTGCAGTGGGGGCAGGGCCTCCTCTATGGGGCAGAAAGGAGGAGTGAGTGTATTACAGGCCCGGGCAAGGAGGGCAGGGGCCGGCTCCCGGCTGAGGACAAAGAGAAGGTCAGACTGACCCCCTGCAGACAGCAGGCTCCAATGAAGCGAAGCCAGGCTATGCAGGGCATTGAAAGCTAAACAGAGGAGCTACGCTTTATCTTCGAGGAAATAGGGGGCCAGGCTGAGGAGCAGAGTCACTAGGTCACAGATAGACACACACACACACACACACACACACACACACACACACGCACAATGTCCACTTGTGAGGCAGCTGTGGAGGACAGCCTGGAGAGGTCAAGGAGGAGCTCAGGTGAGAGGAGAGAAGGGGGTTGGACGGACAGCCACGGGTGCAAAGGGAGAAATGGTGGATTTCTCCTGCGTAACTCCGGGCCCACCTCCACCAGGCCTTTCCGGATCCCCACAAGTCTCAGCACCATCTCCTTCTCCTCCCTCAGGCCCTGGATGCCACCCCCTGCACTCTGCCGATGCCACTCTCTCCGCCAACACCGATGGTTCCTTTCTCCTCTAATCCCCTGGCCCCTTCTCCGGCCTCAGCCCTCTGCCATCCCACCTGGAGAGCATCTCTCTTCTGAGGGCCCCGCGGCCATCTCAAGCCCATCATGGTCTTTCCCCCTGCACTCGGCCTTGCCACCTTCCCAGCATGCTTCTAATTCCGTGGGATCCCAACTCGGGAAGACCCCCGTGATTCTTCACTCCGAAGCCTGGAGTCCAACCAATGCCACGTCACATCGCTTCAACCTTCATCGTGTCTCTCCTATTTGTTCTGGTCTCTCTGCTCGTGGCAGAATAGACCTTCCTCTCCCTCCACCCAGTCACCTACAGGCTCTCCTGGCCTTCAGTCTCTCCCCTAACCCATTTCCCAGAGCTGCCAACTTCAGACTCCTGAAGTACCTGTGTGACTGGGGGTAGGGTGGGAGGCTGGCTCCCCTGTCCCAAACTTTCAGTAGCTCCCCCGCTGGCTCTAGGCTAAAATACAACCAAAGGCCTTCAGCATCAGGCCGCAGGCTGTCTTTTCAGGGCCATCAGGTGATTACCCAGCAGCCTCACACACTCTACACTCCAGCCAACGGCCCACTTGCTCTGATGTATAAGACAGTCCATCTCCTGTCGCTGGGCCTTGGCCAAAGCTCTCTATCCCACCGCGGCCACAAAGGCCTCTTGGTGTCCCTGGGCGCCCTTCGAGGCTCACTCCACTCAGACCTCACTTCCTGCTTCTCCAGGAGCTAGCGAGCCCTCTTCCCAATCTCGGTGTTTACTGTGCAGACATTCGGTACTACACAGTGACCAGTCCTGGCCCCCTTCAGAACAGAATCTCTGTGAGGACAAGGACAGTTTCATTTTTACATTCTATTTCAATAGCACATACAAGGCCCTTAATACACGCTTGTTGAGCGATTGCCTGAACACTGTATTTGCTGAACTGAACTGAATGTAAATTCTCCAGTCAACATCGTATCCTGTACAGGAACCAAGTCTGAGCTTCGCCAGCCTGTTACCTGGCACACAGCAACGTAACCCAGACTGGGGAACCACATTTCTAACTTCGGGGTGAACATGAGAGGTCAGAGCTGAGAGGGCCCTCAGATATCACCTCATCCATCACCCTGATTTTACAGGTTTGGAAACTGAGGCCCGAAGAGGATACGTGACTTGCCCAAAGTCTTGGTGAATGACAGTGGTGGGGGAAGCCAGCTTTGAAGGTGACACTTCCAATGGCACCCTGCACATCATTCAGATGCCCCGGGGGCATCTGCTCCTCAACATGTCCCCGCCTTCCTCCCCAAGCCCTCCCCTCTTCCAATCTTTCCTATCACCACTGAGGTCACTGCCATCCTCCCAGTCCCCTGGGTCACAAACTCAGTGTCCAGACGCCTTCTTCTCCCCATCTCTTACCAGATCTTGTCGATGTGACCCCTTCTCTCGAGCTCTCATCACCTCCCACCTGGATGACCACAGGAGCCTTCTGGATGGCTTCTGACCCAAACCCCTCCTCACTCAGATCCACCCTTCAGGTGACTGTGCCTAAATCACTGGGCTGACCCCGTCACACACCCCACCACCCCGGTGAACGCCCGTGGTTCTGTTTACTCCAGGATCAAATCTAAACTCCTGGTTTGATGTTCAAGGCTCTTCATAACCCAGCACCTTCTCACCTTTCCAGTCACCTCCCACTTCACTCTCCTCTAGTACCAACTGTATTCCAGCCACACTGGTCTCCCGGGAGGCCCCTGAAAACACTGTCCCTCACCCATCTCCATCCTTTTCTCACTGGCTGGCTGTCCCCTCACCTCCACCTATTAAGTTTCCTTGACTTCCTTTGAAAGGAAGCTCAAATTCCACCCAGTGCAGGAGCCTTTGTTGGCCCCCCCCAAGCTACTACCTCCCCCTCAGACGCTGCACCCCCCCATCCCGGGGCTCCACATGTGCCTGGCTGTTACTATGTTATCTCCTTCATTGGAATGCAAGGTCCCTGAGGGCAGGGCGTGGTGACCCCAGCTTGGTACAGCTTCTGGCACACAGTAGGTACTTAGTAAATGTTTACTGAATCGAATCAGCACACGCACACATGTTTCGTTAACGTTTGAGAACTTGATTTAAAACAAAAGCAGAAAAAAATCTAGCTTTGGGAAGAATTTCCTGGATTTAAATTTTCTGTCTTTGCTCCCCCCTTCACACATACACACGCTTTCACACTCCTAGGCAGACAGTCTATGGCACCATACCCATAAGAGGAAGCCTTCTACTTCTCCCAAACTGCTTTTTCCATTTAAGAGTCAGCTCTCTGAATAATACCAGGCTGAACTGCCCCAAGACAATGGCTGAGATCCCCTGACCTGGATTTACTCTGTCTTCAGATCTGACAAGAGAAGCTGGACCACTTTCCAAAGTCCACAGGTCAGTTTGCTGAGGGATCTGGAGAGGCCCTCAGAGAAAATGATCCGACCCCATTTAGCTTCACTTTGGAGCCAGAGTTACAGTTAATCGGGGCAGCCACAGTGTGCGGCGCTAGGAAGGATTCCACCAGCTCCCTCCTCCAGGGGGGCGCCAGCCTGCTCCTCCTCTTTGTCAAAGATTTGATTTCATTATAAAAGTCATAGTGAAGGAGAGACCGGGAGGAAAAAGAGGAAACTGATATACAAGGTGTCGGTTGCTAGTTCTATTCAATCAAACAGAAGGCTTTATTTATCCCAATCGCATGGGCATCGTAACGAGTTCTCTTTTTTCCAGGGATACCATCTCCTCACTTTCTTATCTCTCCTGCCACCCCCCTCCCCTCCAATAACTCTGACTTGTCTGTTTTAATAATTACATTGTAATTAGCACCATGGGCCCTGCCCTCCCCATCACCAAACCAGAGTGATTCCGTGCTCTAGGATGTCCTTATACGTCTTACATTCCAGAACACCCAGAGATTCATTGCCTTTTTCCAAGAAGGTAACCCCACCGTCCAGTCTGGCCAATGCTTAATGAATGGGGCAGTGGGGGTGTCAGCACTGGGATCTGGAGTCCCAGCTGCAGCACATCCAGCCTGTGACAAGTCACTTCGTTGTGGGCTCCCCTGTAAGCTGAGGCAGCCAGACCAAGATGTTCCTAAAGCTTCTTTCAAGGCTAACCTCAGAATAACGTCTCCAATTCTATCAAAAGGTGCCTAACCATCCGGCCTCCCAAACTGGTAAATTCTCATGTTGTTTCTTCTTCAGCTATGACTTAAGATAAACTATAAGGAAGCCTCTCAGCAAGCATCACTTCTAGAACTGGAAATCAGACAAATTGGATCTACTCCCTTATCAGGGGATATTCGAGGCTTGGGTTCAGACAGCTGGGACTACTCCAAACCTCCCTATCATTGTCAAGGGCATCTCACACCTCTCAGTGCCCCGGGATGGCATGCTGGGTGGCCCCCACCCCCATCCAAGCCCTTGCCAAGGCCCGTGGATTTCACCTTTGTAATATCTCTATCAATTTCACCTGTGCAACATGTCAGCCTTACAACCCCTTCTCTCCTGCTACTGTTACCACTCCAGTTCTGTTCCTCATCAAACCCCTATTGCACTACTGGGCTAGCAGCTTCAGCCTCTTCCCACTCCAGTCCAACCTTCACTCAGCTATCAAAGTGATCTTCTTGAAGTAAGTGACCCCCTCTCCCCATTCAATACACTGCAGTGGGTCCCTATCACCCCTAGGCTCAAAGAGAAACTCTCTGGGCATTCAAAGCCCTTCCTAACCTGCCCCTCCTTCCCAGTATTTTTACTGCTCCCCTCCCCCTGCTCTGAGATCCAGTGACTCTGGCTTCCCTGACTCCTTGTATTTTCACAGGCTGCTTCTTCATGCCTGGGCTGTTTCTCCATGCCTGGAATTCTCTCCCTTTCCCTCCTGCCTTCCTTCAAGTCCCAGTTAAAATCCTACTTTTCACAAGAGGCCTTTCCCAATCCCCCTTAATTTTAAGCCGGTGCCTTCCCTCTATTATCTCCAATTTATTTTGTATATATCTAACTTGTTGGTGTGTCTCCCCCCTTTAAAGTATGAGGTCACTGGGAACAGGGGCTGCCTTTACCTTTCTTTGTACCCTAAGCACTTAGCATGGTGTCTGGCACACACAAGGTGGTAAATAAATGCTTACTAATGGGGCAGCAAGGTGGCACAGTGGATAGAGCACCGGTCCTGAAGTCAGGAGGACATGAGTTCAAATCCGGCCTCAGACCAAACACCTGACACTTACTAGATGTGTGACCCTGGGTAAGTCACTTAACCCTAACTGCCAAAAGAAAAAGAAAGAAAAAAGAAACAAAAAGCTCATTAACCTCAAGATTTTCTGTTTAACCCCTCCCCCCCCAGGCCAGACTGCACAGAAGGGCCCAGTCCCTTGGAGGACTCCTGGACATTCTGAAGCTTCCCTTGGCTAGTCACGGCCATTCAAAGGACATTTCAGCAGGGACAAGGCAGAAGGGATGGTGGGACGAGAACGGGAGGGGGCTGTGGCAAACAGTGAGGCACAGGACCTGGGCAGGCATCTTTATCTCCGGATACCCGGGCACTTAATAAACAAACTTGTCCATAAGATCCAAAGAGGAACGTTCTCCAGCCTCCTCACCTCAGACCTTGAGAAAAAAGGTTCCAATGGCTTTGAAGGAGGGCCCCCAGTTTACTCCTGTAGTGACCCTGACTTACCATCGCCCTGGCCCTCTTTCAGGGTCTCCTTCCCTGCCAGCTGGGTCCTCCCAAACCAGACCCTAATTCCCACCCCTTTTCCATAGCTCCTTCAAGCAAATGCTCTCAAAGACTCCTTGCAAAAGGCCTTGAAAACTGCCAACTGTCCAGGGAGCCCCTCCCCATCATAAAATTACTGTTTAGAGCAGAAAGGCACCTAAGCAAGCCCCTCCTCATAAGGAGATAAGGGGGGTCAAGTGCTTGGCCAGCCTTAAACTGCTACATATAATAAGTGCTAGCGATTGTTATCATTATGTGTTAAACACTCACACAGGAGATTCTGAGTAGAAAGGGACCGAAGAGATCGATTCACTACCGAAAGACCTGGAGCTACAGGGCCCTCAGAAGCCATCTAGTCCCACTCCCACATTTTACAGATGGGGAAACTGAGGCTCAGGGAGCTGACTGGTCCAAGCTCACACGTAATTACGGTCATAGTTCTAGAGCTGGAAGGGATCTGGGATGTCATCTAGACCACTTCCCTCATTTTACAAATGGGGAAACTGAGGCCAGGGAGGGGAAGCGAGGCTGGACCGCGGGCCGTCGCTTCCGCGTCGGGGTGGGCTCTCGCCCCCCGGCCCGCTCCGCCATCGGGCCCCTCCCCCCGCTCCGGTCCGGCATTTACGGGGGCGTAGGCTGCAGGGGCGCGGCGCCCGCCGGGGGCGCCTTCCCTCCCCTCCGCCCCGCGCCTGCCCTCTCGGGCTTCCCCGCACCCTTCCCCCTCCCCCGGGCCGGCCCGGCCCTCTCCTTTCCCGCCCTGCCCAGCCTCCGCTCACCATGAAAAGCTCGAGAGCGCCGAAGCCGCCGAGCCGGGACCGGGGCAGCCAGGAAAAGAGTTGGCGCAGGCGCACGAGGGCCGAACCGGGGCGGGGCGGGGAGGGGCCGGCACTTCCGCCCCCGCTGGCGGGCCGCGCTTCCGCCCCGCAAGGCGTCTCCGGCTCAAGCCTCCGCCGCACGCTCACTTCCGGCCCCCTCCTCGGAACGTCTGTGGCGTCGGGCCGCGTTTCCGGACGGAACTCCGAGGCGCGGACAGCCGTGGGGCAGGATGGCGGCGAGGCCTCGGCCGCTGTCCGGGGCCCGGCGGAGCGCGGGGGGATCGGGCTGAGGCGACCCTGGCCCCGGGCCCGAGCGGGTAAAAAGGCGGGCGGCGGGAGCGCGCGCGGCCTGGGTCCGAAGCGGGGCCGGGCGGCGGGAGCGCGCGCGGGGGGGTGGGGGAGGGGAGGCGCATCGTCGTCGTCGCTGTTGTCGTCGTCGTTGTCGTCGCCGCCGTCGTGGCCTGCCGAGGTCGGTCGGAACCCCCGGGCCCGGGTCCGAGCAGCTTCGACGTCGTCGAGGCCTCCCTCCCTCCCCCCTCCTCCTCGTGTGACAGCCGGGGAAACTGAGGCCCCGAGAAGGGCCTTCTCAGAGGGCCGAGGTCGGAACCAGGCCCAGGACGATTGGGGACCCCAATAATCAGCGCCCGGGGCAGGGCCCGCGTGGGGCTAAAACCCCGACACACTCCCCCGCCCCCCCCCCCCCCCCCCCGCGCAGGATCTCCCGAGGCCGAATTGTGTCCCCCATCTCACCTCCCCCTTCTCTCAACCTCTGGGCGCGGCCCGTTCACTCATTCATTCATTCATTCATTCGTTCATTCATTCAACATACACCCGTGCCCCCGACTCCGATCTGAAGCTAGTTAAGTCAACAAGCATTTATTAAGCGCCTGCTGTGTGCCAAGTGCGGGGAGGCACAGGAAAGGCAAAAGTCGTGGTCCCTGCCAGTCTGATGGAGAGGACACGGATGGAGACAGGACATACTGCAGGTGCTCCGTCCCACCTCCCCTCCAGCCTAATGCCACCCAGGCCTCCAAGAGGGGTGGACAAGCCCCTGACTTCCTTCAGGCCTCTCCATTGGGAAACTGTCCCCAGTTTGCTCTATCTCGTTTGTACACAATTGTTTCGGTGTCTCCTTCCACATTAGACTGGGAGCTCCACGAGGGCAGGGACCAAGACTGGGCCTTTCTTTGTAAGCCCAGCAGCACACAGTAGGGCCCTAAAGGCTTGCCCCCTCGCTTGGCCTTGACCTCGAAGCCCCTCTGCCGCTATGAAGGTTGCATCCACCTCAGGGAGAGCACACCCATTCCCCGCTTTGGGCAGCTGTTGTCAGTTACCAAGTGTTTCTTTACCTCAAACCCAAGTTTGCCTCTTTGTAACGTCTCCCCTTGTTCTACACTTTGGGGCCAAGCAGAGCAAGTCGAATGGGGGAAGGGGAAAGGCATTTATCGTGCCTACCTTATGCCGAGTGCTTTTAAAAAACGTTTACAATTATTATCTCATTAGAGCCTCAAAGGAGAGTACTTCCTACAAGCACCTCCTGTACAGGGTCAATTGAGATGATGCAATGCTTTACAAACATTAAATGCTACATAAATGTCAGTTACAAGCATCCACGCTGCTATTATCTCCATTTTAGAGTTGAGAAAACTGAGGCAAACAGAGGCTAATTGACTTGCCCAGGGTCACCCAGCTAGTAAGTGTCTGAGGCCAGATAGTTGCAGTCAGCAACTATCCCAGCCCCCTTCTGTTCAGTTGATCCTCATGTGACACTATAAGGTGTCACTGTAAGGTGTGTGCCTTCCTCTGGACTGTCTCCACCTTATCAACGTCCGTTCAGAGCTTTGGGTGCCCAGAATTGAACACATTACTTCAGATGGAGGCTGATAATAGTCTTCCACATATGATCCATTTGGCTTCCATCCCCAGCTACCCTTGGTTATTAGAAAGCTAAGCTCCTGAACTTTACAGCTGAGAAAGGAGCCCAACCTCATTGTCTAGAAGAGGCCCCTCAGCCTCGGGGAGGGGACCTGGCGTGCCGGAGGTCAGGTAGGCAGTGACGGTGCAGAGATTCCAACTTGGGTCTTCTGACTCGAGTCCTTGGCCTTTCTCTGGAGCTAGCTGGAGCGTAGCCAGGATGAGGCCCTAGGTCTTCCAATCTGTGTCCAGGGGCAGCCCGACCTAAATAGCATGTTGTGAACTTGGAGTCAGCACTCGATTGGCCCTGGTCATTCCCTAATCTTTGTGCGTCCCTAACTAGAAGATGAGCGAGCATCTTAAAGGCCAGGCATGGTTGTATGTAGGTGGCCCAGGAGCAGGCCATTCATTGAATGAATGAATGAAAAAGCTTGCTGTGCTTGTGTGCTAGACCCTGCCCGAACCTTGGGGAGAAAGAATAAACAGGCAAGGTCCCCCCAGCAGATTGTTTTAAATGCTCATTAACTGAAAAATAGAATTCTGTATTGAGTTTGGTAGATAACTCGTGTGGTGTAAATATCTGGTTGGTTGGTGAATAAAGCTTTACGAAGCATCCTTACAGTCAAGTATTGGGGAAAGAAAGATCGTTAGCCTTGCAGTCAGAAGCCCTGAGATTGAGTCTTGGCTCCAACATGTGCTAACGCACCAGTCCTGACTTCTCACTCTCTCTTAAGACTCCATTTGTAATTTCTTTTTAGTTCCTATGTAATGAGGAGGAAGCCTGGCCATTTGCCTCTGCTCATTAATACCTATGTGACCTTGATCAACTCACTTGTATTCTCTAGGCCTCCAGCTTGGAGGAGATCTCAAGGCTCCCTCGTAGCTCTAAGCTGTGATCCTGTAAGCCCACCCCCACCCCTACACCTGCTGGTGCCTGCTTGTGTCTAAGTGCTGTGCATTTATTTATGTTTCCTTGTTGTAGGTCTGTATGTGTGATTTCTCTAATGTTAGGATGTAAGCTTTCTAGTAAGGCTTGTTTCATTCTTTATACTTGTGTCCCCAGTGCCTAACAGTGTCTGAGATGTAATAAGTGCTTAATAAATGCTTCTTAATTGATTGATTTGAACCATGGGCAAGTCACTGTAGCTGTTATGAGCCTCAGTTTCCTCATTTGTGAAATGAGAAGGTAGTACCACTAGTACCTTCTTCAAAGGGTCATTGCCAGGATCTGGTAAGATAACGTGATGCTTTATAAACATTCAAATGCTATGTGAATGTCAGTTACTAGCCTCAGCCTGTCCCACAGTAGGTGCTTCTTGATGGATTGGTTTTCTAGGAAGGCACCTTGCAGAAGATGAGTTTTGAGGTAGGCTTGGTGGTCAGGAATGTGGTTTAGATGCCTTTCTTCTCCCCTTATCCTGAGGGATGGAAAATTGCTAGTCCCAGGAAGAAGGCCATCCTGATAGGGAGAGTCTTTGTGGTGGATTTCAATGGCTTGGGGCTGTGCTCTCTTAGTTGGCTTCGGCCCCACTTTTGAAGGGTCTCGACATGTGTGGATGTGAAATCAGCTCTCTGGGTGCAAGAGAGTTTGTGGAGGCTTTCTTATCTTCCTTGAAATCCTCGTGATTTCACTAATTCTGGGCTGCCATCCCTCTGAATACAGAGCACCCATTCTTAGATGGTTGCTTTCATGTTTCTCCAAACTGCTGGATATGGTCCTTAGCCTCTGTGGTGGTGAAATCCGTCCCATAAACCTAGTCTGACCTTTTGTTTTATGTTATTTTATTGACCTCTTTTATCATGCCACCTTCTTTTTCAGTCTCTCCTACCTAGTAAGCCATCCCTTTTAACTGAGAATTTGAGAGAGAGAGAGAGAGAGAGAGAGAGAGAGAGAGAGAGAGGGAGGAAGGGAAGTAATTCTGTTAAATATTGGTTCCCTTTAAATCAGAAATCCTGTTGAAATCCAACCTTAAATTTGGCCCAAAGAGGTTAATGAAAAGAGTATGGTGAGGTTTCTTTTTAGCCTTGGTCAGGAAAGTGAGTTATGGGGAAAAGAACATCAGAGCTTAATCCTGGGGAATCTGGACACTGACACCTCACATCCTTACTCTTGGTGTGGACAGTTCTCAGGGAGTGGACTTTTGCGTATTTATCAGAAACATTCACTTGTTTTTATTTCATTTTTTCTTTATTACTGGGAAAGGTTTAGGGAGTATCATTATTAAAATTCCTATCATACAAACACATTAAAGGCACCAACAAAACTTGGACTCAGGACTCCTTGGTTCGTATCCTGCCTCTGGCACTTCTTAGCTGTGTGACCTTGGATAAGTCACTTTAGCCTGTTTCCTTTTATGTAACATGGGGACAACAATAGATTTAGAGAGAGAAGACCTCTTGTCCAAGCCCTTCCCTTCATTGAGGAGGGTACTAAAGCCTAGAGAGATAAAGTCACTAGCCCCAGGTCAGACAGGCAGGAAATGGGAGAGTAAAAGTTTGAACCCAGGTCTTCTGACTCCTTTGCCACTGAACCATGTCCTATCTCCGAAGTTGTGGGGTGGGGTGGGAGTGGGGGAGGGGACTCAGGAAACCTCAAAGCTCTGTAGAAAGGGGAGTCAGGAAATAATGCTTAATGAATTGAATTCAGCCAGTCATCCAGAGTCTTTCTGTCTGGTTTCTTTAGTCTGAGACGACGCTAGAATCCAGATAAAGTGAGATGCTGCCTTAAGTCTCAAGCCCAGCGCTTCATCGAATGAACATCGGGTATTTCTGCAGGAAAAGCAGATCCTCAGGTGAGTTCCCCCTCTTTCACTGCGGGAAGAAACCCCCCCATTTAAAGGGAGCTGGGCGTGGGATTGCCCAGCCAGCTTGGCCAAGTCATTGCTACTGTCTCCTGGAGAAAACATGCCCCCTCGTTAACGCTAGAAGGGCTGCAATTCAGCTCTGCCTCCACAGGCAGAGATTTTTTTAATCCATAAGATGAGGAAACAGAGATCGTAGCATGAAACCTTTTACTTCGAGGTAAATTAGAATCTTTTTTGGCCTTAGTTGATTCAGTGTTGATTCAGGTCAAGGTCAAAGGTGAAGGCTTCTATCCCATCAGTGGGATGATTGCAGAGGGGGAGCCCCCTGGTTCTTAAGTGTGTCAAGTTCTCAATGGATTCAACTTTGTTGATTTGTTATTTTTTTCCTGTGTCTCTTATTTATGTTCCTCTTTAAGTGACTAAAATGGCCTAGCTAGAAAAACAAACGTAAAGAAGTCTGGAGAAACTGGGCAGGACCTAGTCTGAGGAGCTGGGTTCAAATCTTCCCGGTTTGACCTTGAACAGGTGACTAGCTGTTGGGGCCTCAGTTTCCTCTGTAGAATGATCTGGCTCTCTGAGCATCCTCTGATCCTCTTGGTGCACAGGAGGGGGTCTGGGCCTGCTGCCAGCCAAGGCCTGCTCCCTTCACTGGTCAGCTTTGCTTAAATGTTTTCCTTTGGTTTAAGAAAAGGTTGGAGGGGCAGGGGTGGGGAAGGAGTGTGTTGCTTAAAAATAAAAGAAGGCATCTGTAAGACATAATACAAATAACCTAAGCTTGACTCGGACTCTCAGTTTGCTCCCCAGGGATCCCGGCTTTGTTGTCCTTCCTGTGCGCTGTTAACAGAGGCATGCCCTTTGTGTGCATCATGGTGGGTGACTGAATTTATGGGCATCTAGAGCAGTGACTGTCACCTGGGAAGCTGTGCTGCCGTTGCATCAGGCTGCTAGCGCTGGCCTCGCTTTTTGTGACCTACAAGGGTGGCTTGCTTAGAGCTGCCCTTATGACAGCTTTTGGGAGCTGGGTGGTACAAGTCTGATCCCCATTTTACAGATGGAGGAAGTGAGGCTTAGAGATGGGAAGTGACCTAGGAAGCAGCTGAGGTTGGATTTGAACCCAGATCTGCAATGATCTATCTGTTACTCCAGGCTGACTCTATTTATTCTAAAGAATCAACCACTGGTTACCCAGAAGAGTGTAGGGTTACAGTGAGCATAGGGATCTCTTGGATCAGGGCAGAGTGGAGTGGGGCAGTCCCGAGGACCTAGTTCAAATCCTGCCTCTGGCACTTGACCACTTGTGATGCCAGCAGGCTAGTTGCTTTGCCTCTCTGAGCTTCCTTTTCCTCATTTATAAAATGTCGGCCAGAGCTGGGCTCGAGGGCCTTTGAGGCCCTTCCTGCTCTGAGTCTGTGAGGCTTCTTCTGACTCACTGCTCCTGTTTGTTTAGGTAAATAAGGCTGAAATCATAAGACTTTGAGCTGGAAGGGATCCTAGAAATCAGCTGGCCCAAGGCCCTCGATTTATAGATGGGAAACTTGGGCCCAGAGAGGGGAGGAAGCTGGCCAGGGTCCACCTGCTCATAGCCCTCAGCTAGGATTCTGCCAAGCTCTTCTCTCCCTCTCTGTGTTCTTCCACCTTAGAGATTGCTTGAGTTCCTGTGCCGTTAGTTGGCCAGCCTGTTTTATTTGGGCCCAGACCTTTGATTTTGTGATTCTGATATCATGAGTTCTCATATATATGAGAGAGAGAACAGGGTATAATATATATGTTATATACATTAATACATATGTAATGTATGTACTTCATGTGTAATAAAGCATGTGGAATAATGTATAAAGAGCAGGGACCAAAGGTGGGGCCCCCACGGGTCTGGCCTCCTGGTGCCATTATCACTTGCAGCTGGTTCCCTGGGCACTGACAACTTTCTGCCTCAAGCGTATTGACTTCCTGCCCTGCCGTTATGGGCCCTGCCCTAGCCACCTCACACAGCTGCAGCCCATGATGATGTGTTTTGTTTCTGTGTTTGGTTCAGGAAAGGTTTGCAACAATGTTCAGCACATCCCAGTCTGCCCGAGCCCAGTTCCTGGACAAAGCTCGTCAGGCGAGGGAAGAGAGGCGGGGGCAGAAGGAGAAGGAGCGGGCCGCCGTGCAGATACAGGCCGTGGCCCGCGGGTTTCTCTGTCGATGTCGCTTACAGAGAGACATCAGGTGGGTGTAAAATCTCTCTCAGCAGCCTCTGCCCAGCTCCTCCCATTGGTCCATTGACTTTTGGTTTCCCTGCCTCCACCAAAGCCCCCTTTTGATCCCTCACTGGGGTGTGGCTGTCACTCTGAGCCCTTCCAAGTTGTACCTGGGGAGTGGGTCTTACCCGATGTAGGCTTCTGTCATCTCAGGACCTAGCCACCCGGGCGATGAGGTTTTGGCCTTGGTTATACCCAAAGTCCACCTACCAAGCCATAGAGAAGGCGGGCCTCCACCAGCAAACCACAGATTGGAAGGAAAAGGCCCCAGATGTCTTCCTGCTCTGGTTAAACCTCCTCTCTTCCTCCTTTCCCAGGAAAGAGATCGATGAGTATTTTGACACCATTGACCCAACTGGAGCCAGTAAAAGAAGTGCACTTTCTCTTTTTAAGATCGCCCGGAAGCTGTTGTTCATATTCAGAGCTCGAGAGGATGAGCTGGTAAGGCAACCTCTCTCCTGCGTGCGTGCACCCAGCCACCGGCTGCCCTGCCTTCTCCCTGTCTGTGCTGGCTGGTTCTGGGCAGAGTCCTAGGGTGCTGCTGACAGCCTGAGCAGAGCGAGCTGGCTGGGGAAGCTGGGATTGCTGGCAGGCAGCTAGTGATTTTTTAGGTAGAAGAGTAACCTTTGCTGTTGTGTCCTTATCTTGGCCACGGTTCGCGGCCGTGGAGCTGCTCCAGGCCTGTCCCTCTCCCTCCTCTCTCTCTAGAGCAGCTCTCAAATCTGGCCCCTTCTCCCAGCTCTCGCCTCCACCACCCTCAGTGAGTTCTTCATTAGCCCTCCATAGCCTTGTTGTTCTCCCTGAATCGAGGCCCTCCTCAGTCCAGTCCAGCCTCCATCTAGCTCCCAAAGTCCAGGTTTGGCCGTCTTACTGCAGCCCCTCCCTCAGTAAGCATCAGTAACTCCCTGTTACCTCTGAGATCAAACAGATTCCTCTTTTTGTCCTCTAAGGCTCTTCACCAGCTGGCTCCCACTGCCTCTCCAGCCTTGCTCCATGTCCATCATTCTCCTTCCCCCACAGCGGGGCCCAGCCAAGCTGCCCACCACCCTCTTCTCGCACACAGGATTCTGTGTCTGTCTCCAGACTTTTGTGTGGGCAAAATGTGGGTCCACATCTGTAGTGTGTGCCCTCCTCACTGCCACCCCTTGAGACTAAGGCCTTTGACCTGGAACCTTCTTTCATCACACACCCTTATTGATTAAAAAAACCAGAAACCTTTAAGCCCTCATTGTCTCTGTGGGTGATCGTGTGCATTGTAAAACACAGGCCAAATATAGACATAAAGGAAGAGGTGGCAGTCACATCGTGTTTGTTCCTAGAAATGATGAGAAGCACAGGAGTTTATTGATTGGGGAGTAACGTGTGAGACCCGCAGCCCAGCTCCCCCAGCCCCAGTTGGTTGTCACCTGAGGCCCGCTTGGGGGCTGCTGTGTCAGAATCCCTAGTCGACTTCAGAGCCTGGCATGGATGCCACCTCTCACGAAAGGCCATTCGTTGCCTTACCACAAATGAATTTGGATTTTATCTATACGTGTGTTTATGTACATATATGTATGTTTGGTTTATGTTAACAAGCATTTATTAAGTACATTATGCTCTAGCCTGTGCTGAGTGGTGGGGGTACAGGGAAGGCCAAAGACAGCCCCTGTTCCCAAGGAGCTCAGTCTGGTGGCAGAGATGGTGTGAAAATGATATATGTAAGCTGGCTCTCTCTACAGGATCAGTCGATGTAATCACCGAGGGAGGGCCCGAGCATTCAGGGGGATTGGGAGGGACTTCTTGCAGAAGGTGAGATTTTAGCTGGGACCTAGAGGAAGCCAGGACACAGAAACGGGGAGGGAGAGAATTCCTTCGGATGAAGGTCTAGCCAAGGAGATGGAAAAGGAGTGGTCAGGCAGGCAGGAGGAGGACCAGCAGATGAGAGAGTGTCAGGAAGGGGTGACTGCAGGGGGCTGGGGCTGAGAAGGTGATTGTTGAGAAAAGGCCGTTAGATTTGGTGAGGAAGGGGTCGTTGGTAACTGGATATCTGTTTATATGGGGAAATGCTCTTTCCCCTCCTAGAGGCAGGACCTTTCATTGTTGTCTGGATCCCCAGTGCCTAGAACAGTGCCTGGCATATCATGGGTGATTAATAAATGCTTGTTGGCTAATTTTCCATCTTGAGGTGGGAAAGATAATCTGGCACCTGGTGGCTGGTAGGCCGGCAGTGTTAACGTCTGTTTGCCGACATTCTGATCTGACCACAGTGCTTCTCTTGGCCAGTGGATCGTTGAAGTCCTGCCCCGTCTCTGGCATGGTACTAGCCTTAGGCTGGCCAGGATGAAGCAGACCATTGGGTGGCCCTTGTTGGCAGCGTCGAGGCCCGGGAGTGAGATGAGCCTGTCACTTTGTCCTTAGCTGTGCATTGTTAGGAGCTGAGGTTTCCTTAGAATGGGAATGGGGGAGCATCGTCCTGGTCCTGGGAGTCTGTAACCTGTCCTGCTGGTTCTTTACAGAGGTTTGGAATGCTGTGCCGTTGCATCCTAAGCAGCATGGAAGCTGAGAATGACCCTAAGGTGAGTGGGAGGGGGCAGAACTTAGAAGCCAAACATCCTCCGGCCCTCTGGCTCACAGAGCACTTTCTTTCCAGTGGCCTGGAGAGCTGTTTAAGGGTTTCAGAGAATTCTATGCACCTGCTGCTGTGGGATCCTGGACAGATCCCCATCCTGCTCTGAGCCTCAGTTTGGACCAGAGGGTCTCCAGGTCCCATCCAGCTCTAGAGCAGGGATGCTTTGAGATGCAGTGCGCGTGTATCATCATCGTTATTATGATTGCTTAGATGATTGTCTCAGATTATTGATGGTAAAGTTGGGAGGGACCTTAGTGTTCCTTTAGCCTAAGCCCCTGGCTCTGCCCCCAGAAGGGAAGACAGAGAGACTGCGGTTCAGAGAGGAAGCCCATGGTCCCGATTCCCAGTCCAGGGCACTGTCCACTTGCTCAGGCGGCCTTGTTCGGGGCCCAGGGGCATGAGAGGGAAGGAAGGACGCTGTGCTCTTGTCCTTTTGAGGATTCCTTCTTACTGGTCTCTGAAAATTCCTCCTGACAGTTTGATGGTGATCCGTCACTTCCTTCATGGCTGTGTTTTGTTTTCTTTGGCCTGAAATGGAGGCCGAGATAAGCATGGCCAGGGACCCCTGTGGCTTCTCCCCAGGGAGGATGTTACCAGAGCAGGAGCCATCTCCTCCACTGTCAGCAGGCATGCTGGCAGTGCTTTGTCAGGGGTGTATCAGTGCAGTTAGCATTGCCGTGGGGATTTTCATTAGCCTCTTTAGCAGTCCCATGCTGAACGTCATTCTTTTAGGATTTTCCTTTAGAGAGAACGAGTGTGGAAATACAGAGAAGGAAAGAATGATTCTTTAGTCTCCTGACTGTGGAGGCAGGATATACAGTGGATAGATACCTGGACCTGGGGCTAGGAGGAGCTGGGGTCAAATCCAGCCTCAGATGAATTCTAGCTAGGTGACCTTGGGAAAGTCACTCCCTTGCTGGGCCTCATCTGAGAAATGGGGATGGCCACACTTGCAGTCCCTTCCTCCCAAGGGTCTTCCTACTCCTGCTGGCAGCCGTAGCTCAAAAGGCAGAGACTACTCAGGACCCCTCCCCTCGGGGTCTGTGCTGAGGTTGAGTCCTGTGCCAGGGCCACATTCCCTGAGCCCCAGGGCTGAACCCGGCAAGGGTGCTGCTGGCTGGCAGTGGTAGCACAGCAGACTCGCTTGTGCCCACAGGTGTGGTACGTGTCCCTGGCTCTTTCCAAAGAGCTCACTCTCCTCTGGATCAAGCAAATTAAAGACATCCTGTGGATCTGCTGCAGATATCTGAAGTACCTCAAGGTAAGGGGACTCGTCACTCCCACTTCCCACAGTTGAGCTCCGTGTTTGTAAAGCTCCCAGCGCTCAGAAGCAGCGGACAAAGCTGCGCCTGCAGGTGCTTCTGAGGCACGTCCTGGGTGCGGGCCTGTGCGGTGACCCAGGGGTAGGGAGCCTACACTGGGGGCTCCGCTCCAGGACCCACAGCCCTGCCTTCAGAGGCCACTGAAATCTCCTATTTGCTTTCCCTTCCTCCGGGGATCATTTGAAGTTGCTGTGGTCTGGGATATGAGTCCTCTGAGGCCTCAGCATGACAAGAAAGTGACCCCAAGTTCTCAGAGTCCAAAAGGTGTCGGAGCTTGTCATTATTTGTACTGTCTGGAGTGCTGGGGTGGGGGCAGTATGAGACATCCCCCACAAGCATGTAAGTGCCGTGAGGACCTGGCAAAGAGTGCTGTGCCCAGTAGGCATTCCAGAAACGGTGAACTAACCCCAGAGTTACAAAGATGAAGGGAAAAGTCTGTCTTGGTCTAATTTACTGGGATTCTGAGTTCAGGAGGCTCAGCCTAACTGTTTTTCTGATGACCTGGATTGAGAGCTGATCTTTCTCAATACAATTACTTCTGTTGTTCCCAGCCTGACATCTTACAAGACTCTAAACTGATCTCACTGTACCTCACCCTGCTTGTTAACTTCACAGACACATCAACATGGAAAATTGTCCGAGGAAAAGGTAGGGCACCCTTTCGTAAAATCTCTGGTGGCAAATGGTTCAGTACATACGGCTCCGTATACATTTCTTCATTTTGTGTGCACATGCGTGTGCGTGTGTGTGTGTGTGCGTGTGTGTGTGTATGTATGTATGTGTGTGTGTGGAGAGAGGTCCTCTATCCAAAGCCACATGGGTACCCGCATCCCATGTATGAGCGTGAAGTCAATCTCAGCCTCCAGATGAACTCTGCCAGCTGTAAAATTTGTAAGAAGTGCTTTGTCTCTGGTTGGGTTTGAATGTTAGGAGACCCTCCTGAGCTGGAGTGGGCTGCTGGGTTGGGGGGGCTCCACATCCCTCTCTGGAATTCTCCAGGCACGCCCCAGGGGCCCATTGGCTTGGGGGCTCCAGAAGACGTTCTTGGTCAGGCGTGGGGCAGCCCTCTGTGGGATTCTGTTTGCCTTCTTTGAGCAGATGTTTGGTGGAATAAGGTGCTGTCAGGGGCCTGAGAGCTCACTAGTCCACCTCCTACGTTTGACGAAGGAAACTGAGGCCCGGAGAGATGAAGTGTCTGCCAGTGTCCTTCAAGTAGTGACCGGCAGGCCTGGGGGCCTGCACTGCGTCGTACACTGGCTCATTCTTCCCACCCTTTTCCACCCCAAGGGGTTCTAGGCGATGTCAGCCTTGCAGGGAGTTGTGAGAAATCCTGGAGCAGCAAAGAATTCTGTTTGAGCCTTAGAGATTGCTTTCTGGGGCTCCCCTTCTCTTTGGGGGTGTCCTCATCCCCAAGTACTTTCTGCATCAGTGGACTCAAAGACCTCCAGCATCTCTCTACTCTCTCCTCCTCCTGCCTCTAACAGAACAGTCTGCTGTCAAAGTCAGCCCAAAAGGGAAGGTGAAGCCGTTAAACAGTCTTCCATTTCTCCTGGGCGTTGTTATAAATGAAGTGGCAAAAACGGCCTTGGATTGGGAGTCACAGACCTAGGCCTGACTCTTGCCTCTGCTCTGTGTAGAATGCAGAGTTGGCAGGAACCTAAGGCCATTTTGCCCAGTCTTGAGCCCCCTGAGATTCCCCAGCATAGTACCCCCCAATAACCGGTGGGTCGGGCTTCTGCTTGGAGACCTCGAGGGAAGGCTTCTGAGAGACAGCCCAGGCACTTGTGGGTAACGTCCATGACTAAAGTGGACTCCTTATTCTTCCTGTTAGGGCCGAGAACAGGTTGCTCTTCTCCCACCCCCACCGATAGTCCTCCAAAGACTTGAAGATAACTGTCATGTCTTCTCACACTCAGCCCTGAGCCTGCTGGGTTCTAGGCTCCTGCCAACCCTCTGGTGGCCAGGGCTCAAGGCCTTTCCCCGTTCCTGATGTATTCTAGCTTCACGATTGGTGTCTAGCCCTGAATACAATACAGTGGGTGTACAGAGGGCTATGGGGTCCTCACCTTTGTCCTCGTGGATGCTTTGCTTCTCTTCCCAAGTTCAAGACGGCATTTGTTTCTTTACTGCCTTACATGCGCGTGATTCCCTTGGAGCTTTCAGACCACCCCCCACCCCGTGAAAACCTCTAGATCTTTCTCAGACTTCTTGTCCCATCTCATACTTGTGAAGGTGATTTCTTTCTTTCTTTTTTTTTTGGCTTAAAATTAATGTTTATTGACTGACTGATTCCATTATACTTCACCCTTACACACTTGGGAAAGAAAAACAAAACCCTCATAAACATAAATCCATAGTCAAAACAGATTTCTGCATTGGCCGCGTCCCCAAATGCACATCTCATTAAGCCCACCTTGAGTCCACCACTCTTCTCTCAGGAGGTGGGCGTTCTCTGAAATCACGATTGCTCTTTGTGTTGAGCAGCGTTCCCAAGTCCTTCACGCTGATTGCCTTTATGACGTTGATGCTGTGACGTAGATTGTTCTCCTGGCTCTGGTCGCTTCACTTTGTGTCAGTTCTTACAGGTGTTCACAGGTGTCTCTGAAACCATTCCTCTTGCTTGTCCTTCATTCTCCGTCAAGGACCATGACATCAGGAAGGGGATGCTGTGACGTGCAAGTGAATTGGATTGAAGTGAGGCAGGGCTGTGCAAAGTCAGCAGCCTCCCTTTCTCCTCCGGAGCCATCTGGGTCCAGTAGCCAGATATAGATCAGGATGACTGGAGATGGCCCCCAATCCCTTTTGTAATTTCTTAGGACACAGTGGTGTTCCATCGCATTCATATATCATTATTTGTTCACTCATTTCCCAGATGATGAGCATCTCCTTATTGCCAGTTCTTTGCCAGTGCAGGTGATTTATTGAACTGTTGTAGCCTATTATGAGTCATGTATGACTTGTGATTTTTCTTAGACCTCCTATTCTTTTAGGGGAGTCCCTTCGGCCTACCATGAACCATCTCTGTGCAAATATCATGGGACACCTCAATCAGAATGGATTGTATTCTGTTCTACAGGTTGGTTGTTCCTATAACCTAATATTTCTCTGTACCCTGAGGTCCTAGAGGATGTGGCTCTGGATTTGAAGTGGGCGTCCTGGGGGCTTTGCTGATGGGACCCCAAGTTAACTATTAATAATCTATTAACTTGTTAACAGTTATTGATTTATTGATATTAATATTAATTAGTCATTATTACTCATTTGCAGAGAACCCTAAGTTAATTATTAAGTTCCTCGTTTCCTTCCCCTCAGCCTGTTGGGCATTCGTGTTCAGGGTGGAGAGGGGTGGGATTTTCTTACTGAACGACTCTATGTCCCACCTGTTGAAGCCTGCAGTTGATCCTATTCAGGGCTCCTGCTCCCGTTGCTGGAACCTGGGGAGCCCCACTTCTTGTGATCCCCTTAGTCGGTCAAGCACCTTGAATTGTTTCTAATTCTGTGACCCTGAAATTCATAGACCTACTCCGTGTCTCAGTCTTGTGCTTTGTGCCTTGGAAGAGTTGTTTGTGGGAGAGTGCCGGACGAGGAAGTGAGGGGAGAGGAAGGAAATGGGCCCAGGTAGAAAGGGGGGAAGGTCCTGTCTCCAGAGCCAGGTTCTCAGCCCCCTCTGGCAGGCCAGCGCAGGCAGGAAGTGGCACCACTGTACAGGGAGGGTTGTCAGCCTTCCACCAGAGGATGGAGGGCTTTGGTGGCCCCTGAATCCTCCTAAAAGTTTGTAGAGTGCCATCAGATCCTATCCCTTTGGTCCGTTTCTTTTATCACCTGAAAATGGTGCTCTTTGGTGGTAGAATCAGAACCCCCCTTGACACATGGCCATTTTCTTTCAGATCTTATTAAGAAATGGCCTGGCGAGGTCCAGACCATCTCTGACAAGAGGCATGTTGGCTGCAACCTTTACTTTGGCTTCACGGTGAGTCATCTGCAGTGCAGGGGCCGAGGGAGGCCTGGCCAGGTGAATGTGCCCACCCTTGGGAGACTTTCCCTCAGCCCCACCCAACAGGCTGGATTTGAAAGAGCTGCTGTGGGCTAACTCCTGAGGCCCCTCCTCACCAGGAAGGACTCTTGGCAATCATGTGTCCAACCCCTATCCCTTACAGGGGAGGCCACACAGCTAGGACGTGGCAGTTGGGAACTCGGACCCAGCTCTGGAGCTCCAGTCCCCTCCTCCGTTCGTTGCAGCACCCCTTCCACAACCCCCACTTTGAAATCACTAACATGGTCCGTCTGAAGCTTTATCTGCTTCTGATAATAAATAAGTGCTAGCGTTTACAGAGTGCCTTGAGGTTTGCAAAACACTCTACAAATATTATCTCATTTTATCTTAACAGCATCCCTGGGAAATGGGCACTGCTAGTATCCCTGTTTTACAGATAGGGAAACTGAGGCTGAGACAGGTAAAGTGACTGTCCAGGGTCACTACTCATTGTTGAACTAAGATGACGGGAGGAAAGCAATCCAAACAAACCCTCTTGGTTGAGGCAAACGTCCAGGTTCAGCCTTTTCTTTACATGGTTTTTAGGGACAGGCAGCAGCCTGGATGGGATGGTACCAGAGGCCCCTTCTGGCTCTAAGCCAGCACTTAGGTCCCAGAGTGGAAGGGGCTGCCCTCTGCAGCCAGGAGGCTTGAGACAGAAGTCTGGGTGGCCACTTGTCCCCTCCCCTCCCCTCCTGGATTAATGGGACATGGATTGTTGGTGTTTGGGATGCCGGACATTGCACTGACAGTGCCCGGAACGAGCCTCCCCAAATCGCGGCTTTAGCCAGATGATTGCTCCTAGGTGTGTTCTCATGGAAGTTTCCTGGGACTAGAAATGCTGACATTCTGTCGGGCACCTCTTCAGCCCCCTTGGAGCACACCATGTTTGCAAAGCACCGTTTCTGCTTCGGGCACCCCACCCCATTTCTCCCTGTTAGTTTCCCTGTCCTGTTGTGGCTGTCATTGACGCTCTTCTCGAGGAGGCCAGTGCAGGGGCTAGAGAGGTGGTTTTTGAAAAAGTGGGCGGCCCGCCACATGCAAGGCGGTGTGTGATAAGGGTGTCTGTTTGTGTCCAGCCCCGTGATGCTGCTCATTTTTCGGACAATCTCTTACGACCATTCCTCATCCACATTATGTCAGTGCCTGCCTTCGTGGCGCATCTCAGCATGCTTGCCCCCAAGGTGAGTGGACCCCATTGATCTCACCCATGTCGTCTCCTTGGCTTTGTACTGAATGGAAACTTACTTGGTTTTCACTTTCTCCTCAGAGTCTTTCTCCATATATCTTCTTCCCTTTATTGCATTTACACAAAGGCAAGCCTTCCTCTCTGTGTAATTCAGGATGCTAAACAGTCTGAGGTCCCCTGGGAAGGGAGGAGGCTGTCCTCTCAGCCTGGGAAAGGGAGACTGGCTGGGTGTCCCAGCAGCTGCCGTGCACCCTGCGAGGTGCAGTGGACTGACTGGAGAGGCTGCTGGCCCCCCTTGCTGCAGCATGCCTTGACTAAGGTGGTTGTGGCAGGGAGGGGTTAGACCAGGCGGCCTCTCAGGGCCCTTCCAGCTCTGGAATTGTAGGATTCTTTTCCATGCTCTGATCTCAGTCACCCTCCCCACCTCCCATTTCCGTGGTTCTTGGGGATCAGTTCCACTTTCTCTGGGTGATCTTTTGCTCCCTGCCTTGTGAAGGTCCAAATCGGGGCTTTTGTCCTGTGGCCCTAAGCGGGGCATTGGGGCAGAGGTGGCTCATTTCTTCAGAGCATCGTTGCCCCTTCTTCTTTTGGTGGGTGTTTGTGTGGGTTAGCAAAAACCTTTCACATGAAGGAATTGTGGCTGTTGGCCGGTCTTGTTTTTATTCACCCGTGCCTTTCAATGCCTCTATTCTCACTAGTGGTGATTCTCTCCCCGGCAGCGCCTCGTTGTGCTAGAATATCATGACTTTCTTCGCAAATTCATTCTGTTTCTGAGTCGCAAGGATCAATGCGCGGATGTCTGTGAGTGCTTAGAAGGGAGCCACACTCTCTGTTTGCTTGGTAAGTGCCGGGAGCCAGAGGTGGAATGTGTTCTGGGCACACAAGAAAGGCACTGAGTTCTTTGGAACAGCCCAGGAAATGTTCTGAGAGGTGGGCAGAATCACTGTGTTTTGAAGAGGGAAATGGGAGAATGCCATTTTACAGATGAGTAAACTGAGGCTGAGATAAATGAAATTAGTCCAGGGTCACGGGTGTAGGAAACAGCTGAGGCAGTATTCCAATGGAGATTTTCCTCACTTTGTACTTTAACAAGCACGTATGGAGCACGTACCGTGGGTGGGTCCTGTGCTAGGCACAAGAGATATAAAGACAAAAAAGCCATCTGGGCTTTGTCTGCTTTGTCCTGGGAGAAAAGAGCATTGACAGAGAAAGTTGATGACAGTATGTACTCATTTCACTCTCTGAGGGGATCGAGCACAAATCACCAGGGGAGAATCCAGAGAGCTCCCTGTATGAGGTGGCCCCGGAGACATCCTTGGAAGGAAGCTAGGGATTCTGTGAGGCCTTGGAGGTTGGGGTTGCAAAGACATGGCAGTGGAAATGGAATGTCATGTATGGGGCACAGTCGAGTGGCCTCTGACTGGAATGTCGAGTCCTTGAAATGGAGTGAAGGGAAAGCAGCCTGGGTGGCTAGATTGGATCCAGATGATGAGAGATATCACGTGCCTGGCAGAGAGGTCTGCATTTGATTTGGCCACTGAACCTTAATTCGAGCAGGGAAGCCACAGGACTGGCTCACTACTGTAGGACTGTCGATTTGCCATCAGTATGGAGGATAGAGTTCTGATGACTGCGTACAGGTACGTGGACCGTAGGCTCTTGCAGTCAACTCAAGGAGAAGTAGTAAGAGCCTGAACCCTGAGAGGGGGATGGCCTTGTGAGTGGGGAGATATCATGGGTATTGATTTTTAGAAAGTGATTGGATATAAGGACTGAGGGAGAGTAAAAAGGTGAAGATGACGCTGAAGTTATAAAACTGGGTGTCTGGCAGGCTGCTGCTGCTGCCTTCAAATGAAATAGGAGAGTTTGGAGGAAGAGTGCGTTTTGGTGGAGAGGTTTTCTTTTGAACACATTGAGTCTGAAATGCCCATGAGACACCCAGATGGAGATGTCTAGTAGGAATTTGTAACATAAGATTCGAGCTTGTGGGAGAACATTGATATATTAGATTTAGGGGGCAGCTGGGTGGCACAGGGGAGAGAACACTGGCCTTGGAGTCAGGAGGGCCGAAGTTCAAATCCGGCCTCAGACGCATAACACTTATTAGCTGTGTGACTCTGGGCAAGTCACTTAACCCCAATTGCCTCACAAAAAAAAAAAAGGTATGTAAGATTTAGGATCCATCTGCTTTGAGATGATAATTGTACCTGTGGGAGCTGATGAGATCACCAACAGAGAAAGGGAGAAGAAGTGAGGACGCAGGACTGGTGATCCAGCAAAGGACGTTGATAAAGAAGGTCAAACAGGGAAGAAGAGCAGTGAAAGGCTCTTCTCTCAGAGCAGGGCCTTGAAAACCCAGCTAGGAGAGCACATGTGGGAGGAGGGAGGGGAGTGCTCATTAATGTCAAAAACTGTCGAGAGGTCAAGAAGGGTGTGGACTGAGAAAAGGCCAGTGGATTTAGCCATCCCGCAGTACAGAACTCTGCTAGCCACGCTGCTTCCGGAATCGGTTAGTAGATTGGAATGCTTTCAGCCTTCTAACTAATGCGAAGATTCTGATTCTGCAATAAATGAAATAATTGATGTATATTTTGAAAAATATGAAATACTGTATCATTGCATGATGGTATCCTTCCTGTGACTATTTGAAATGAACAGGAAGGATAAAGCACATAGATAAGAGCTTAGCATTTCCCATCAGCTCATCTATAGTGACAGGAAGCATTTAGCCAGCAGCCAAGAGAGAAGCTAGACTAGGCCCTCTTTAAGCAGCCCCCAAGACTGGATTGCCTATGGTGTCCCTGTCCTCTTCTCTCACAGTATTGGGTTGTATTCTGTGTTGTGATGAGGGAGCTGAGGTTCTGTGGCTCTTCGTGGCTGCCCTCTTTTCTTGAGATGACAAAGTGTCTCTGAGAGTGAAGAATCATTTTTTTCAGAGGGTAAGATGCCTTGAGAGCCTGCTTGAGAGCCTTGAGAAAAGCAGTGGATTGAGTCAAGTGACCTGAGTTCAGCTTGAACTCTTGCTAGCTTTGTGACTATAGGACACGTACTCTAGCTTCCCTGAGTTTCAGTTTTGTCATCTATAAAATGGGAATACCTGCTCACATTAATCCATAAGGTTGTCATAAGGAATTGGCTCCTGTTTCTAGAGTGCTTTACAGCCTCACAGGCCTGATCACAAATTGTGAGACATTATAGAAATGTGAGTTATTCGGTTACTAGCACTTTAATTCCTCACCATCCCCAGGAAAAGGGGAGAGAGCGTTGCCACTTCCCAGCTCTGGTTACTGCCTCTTCCTGCTCCTTGGTGTTGCTTGGGCTGGAGCAAGAGTGCACCAGCGAGGCTCATAGATGTCCTCTGTCTGTCTGAGGGCATCTCAGACACCTTCCATTCTTCTTTTTCATTGCAGGCAACATCATACACTTGGGTATCTTTCAAGCAGAGTGTTAGAGGAGGAGACGAAGCATTTTGTGAAAGTGCTCATTGAAATGCTGTCCTACTGCCAGCAGTATGTGTCCCTGAAGAGGTCGAACCTCACCCACTGGCACCCTGTCCTTGGGTGGTTCTCTCAGTCAGTGGACTACGGGTGAGTGCCACAGAGTGAACCTCCTGGGAGCCGTGCACTGATTCTTCACTCGGTCAGTGAGCTGTCAGCAGGGCAAGGTAGTCAGCCTTAGCCTTGACTGTGTGCCAGGCACTATGCTCAGTCTGTGTTGGGTGTACAAAGAAAGGCAACAGGCCGGGCCCTGCCTGCAGGGAGCTCCCAGTCTGATGGCAGAGTTGACATGTGCATATCAAGGCCTGTGCAGAACAGCTCTGGGGTTATCTTAGAGGGGCAGCCCTGGTAGTTGGGGACTTTAGGAGAGGCCTCATAGGCGGTGCTTGAACTGCTCATTAAAGGAGATGAGAGATTTAAGAGATACTTATACAGCTAGGTGGTGCCATTGGGCATAGAGCACTAGGCCTGGAGTCTGGAAGACTTATCTTCCTTAGTTCAGATCTGACCTCAGAGACTTACTAGCTGGATGACCCTGGGCAAGTCACTTCACCCTGTTGGCCTCAGTTTCCTCATTGGTAAAATGAACTGGAGAATGAAAGAGCAAACCACTCTAGTACCTTTGCCAAGGAAACCTCCAAATAGGGTCACAGCCACAGTATGAGAAGGGGGAGCATTTGCATGAGGCACAGAGATGATATGGATTGCCATGTGTCAGACCAGTAAGAGGGCCCGTTTGACCAGACCGTGGAGTGTGTGAAGGCGAGGAGTGTGTAACATGGCCCAGGAGGTGGAGCTGGACTGTTGTGAAAGAGATTGTTGAGGTAGGGAGGAGTTACTGGGCTTCACCCCTGGGCTTTAGGAGGATCTCTGTGGCTAGTGGATGAGGATGGATTGGAGAGGGGAGAGGCTTAGGTCAGCAAGACTAGGAGGAAGCTGCAGCAGAAGTCACCGAGAGAAGTGAGGAGGGCCGCCTGCTCGTAGAGATGGGGGCAGAGGAAGAGAGGCCAGATGATGCCTGGGGCCCAGAAGAGGCCGAGGAGGGGAGGGGCAAGAGTCAGGCCCAGGCTCATTTTGGAGAGGATGCCAGAAGCAGCCACTGTGGGGAAGGGACTAGAGAAGAATCCTGTGAGTTTATCAGTGTCAGAAATGTCCTTCACCTTCTCGGCAGCCTCTCATCTCAGAGAGCTGCCTACAGCACTGAGAAGGGAAATCATTTTCCCAGGGTCACATGGCCAGGATGGGTCAGAGGCAGGCCTAGGTCTTTCTGACTCCCAGCTTTGCTTTCTCCCCACTGCCATGCTGCCTCTTCTAAAGAATCAATTAAAGTTAATAAGAATTTATTGAGTGCTTACTGTATACTAAGGGTTGGGCTAAGAGCTGGAAAGCAAAAGGAAAGCCAGCCCTTGCCCTCAAGGAGCTTGCACTCTAATGCACATTGGAGGGAGCTGGGGGTGCAGAGGTCAGTTGAGGAGGCAGTGCAGGGTTGGGCTTAGTAAGGTGTGAGTGACAGCAGGGTAAGGGGATCAAGGGATTTGAGAAGAGAGCACAGTGTGGAGGACAGTGGGAAGAGAGGAAGGTCAGATCAGAGCATGGGGAATGGCCCACGGAGCCACAGGGTGTTGGAAGGACTGGAGTCTCCATGAGGCCAAGAAGAGGCCTAGAAGGAGGGAGGTCCAGAGAGAGGTGGTGTGTTCCTTTTCTGTTGGTACTCCCAGCACTTGGCACTGTGCTTTGCACACAGTAAGCATTTAGCAGATGCTTCATTCATCCATTGTTAAGTTATGGTCGGGTTCACGACTAGTACAAATTCCCAAATCGTTAGGAAGACACCAAGTTGTTGAAAGCCTCAGGCCCTTGGAGCAGGTAAGTAGCACGTGAGTGTGTGAGTGAGCATGTGAGCGGCAGACAGGGAAGCTGAGGCAGTATTGGGCTACCCACCTAGGAGAGGCGTGGATTTTAGGAATGGGGGGGTAGCCTCTCTGTACCCTGCCTCCGTCAGACATCATTGGGAGCATCAGGTTCTGTTCAGGAAGAACATTGGTAAATGGGAGAACGGTCAGCATGCTGAAGGGGCCTTAAGCCCAACTCATTGAAAGACCCATTATGCTTAGCCTGGGAGAAAGCAGCTTCAGGCACCTAATGGCCTCTGCTGTTTGGAGGCACTGCTGTGTGGGAGAGGGGCAAAAGCTGTAAAGAGACTGGCTGTGGCTTAGTGCTAAGTGTGAGAGCCAGTCGAAGGCGGTCTTTAAGCAGAAGCTCGGGCGACCTCCTCTTAGGGGTGGATTCTCTGAGTGTGGGTCAGGTTCGAGGTCCACCAGGGTTTCTTTCGACTCTGAGATTTCATGAGTCTTTGCTGATTGTCTGCCAAGTGCCTTGTCCTTTTGGGGAGGAGTCTCTGCCTTGAGGAACCAGGAATCCAGGTGGGACGGCGAGTCAGTAATAAGTCTGTGCCTGTGATTGCTTGGACGTAGCTGAGGTCCTCTAAGAGAGCCTAGGAGAAGACAGGGAAGAGCTAGGCATTGGTCGAGGAAGGCTCTGGGCCTTGTAGAACAGGCCCAGAGGCGTGGCGACAGCGAGAAGTATGACATGCTCTTGGAATGGGAAGAGATCAGCTGATCTGAGGCAGAGTAGGGGTGTTGGGGAAGAAGTTGGGAGCTAAATCATAGACCGTAAGGGGGACACTGATAGGGAGCCGTGGAGGGACTTTGTGGGGGGAGTGAGCCAAGCTGCCTTTAAAATTAGTCTGGCTGCAGTATTAGGTTAGATTGAAAGACAGGGAGCCTGGAAGAAGGAAGGCCAGCTGGGTGGCAGGCGCGTTAATCTTGGCCTGTTATCCTCCTGGGCTGGGAGCCCCGTGAAGGCAGGGACATTCTTTTATTTAAACTTTGTATTATCCCCCGTGCACAAAAAAGTGAATGTTTAATTATTATTTGTCGAATGAATGAACTAATGAACAGATGGGTGAGTGTGGTCATCAAAGTGTGGACCAGGGTGGTAGCCCTAGTAAAGCAGATGGAGAAGTGTTATGAGAGCCCCTGCTGGCCAAGCTGCCCTCCTGTAAATCCTTTCTCATGATAGCCCATATCCTCATTCCTGTTAGCTAGAGAAACTAGATTTTGGGGGTGCCTTCATCACCTCTAGTTAAAAAGAAGAAATTCTCTTTGTAGCTCCTAATGTTATGACCAAAGGAAAGGCTTCCATGAGAGGGGAAGCTGAGGTATGGTAAGTTTATGGGTTGGTAATGGAAAGGAGAGGCGGAGGGAGTGGTCTGTCCCTTACAAGGGGACCTGAAGTTACTGCTGGGATGACCACCCATCAGAACCATTGTAGAAATAATCACGCACAGACGTAAGCTGGACCAGATCACTGCTGAGGTCCCTGAGACATTTCAAACAAGACTGACAAAGCCCAAGGCGTGCCTGGAGATGGGGGATGGAGTAGAGAATGGGCCCTCGGCCCACGGGAGAATGAGGATGCTGGCGACTCAGTAGGGAGTGGGGCTGCTTCGGTGGGGACGGGGATAACTTTTCAGTGCTTTGCACCCAGCAGGCATTTTCTAGGAGTTGGCTTGACTTGATTTTGAGGGTGGTTTCAGTGTTGGGCCGGATGTGATGCCATCCAGGGATTTATTGACTACACTCTGTGAAGAGACGGGCGTACACATACGAGGAGTAAAAATCCTTCCGTGCTTCCCTCAAGGAGCCTACATTCGGGGGGGGGGCAGCATTCAAAGGGAGGAGGGCCTGGCACAGTGTCTGCAGGGAGAACAGCCTGATGAGAGGTGGGGAAGTCCTCCCTGAACATAACTGCAGCCTGTGCCTCCTCTCTTTCAGTCTGAATGAGTCCATGCCTTTGCTCACCAAGCAGCTACAGTACCTGTGGGGGGTGAGGGTCATCCGCATCCTCTTCCGAGACATCCTGAGCAAGAAGCTGTTGGAGAATCCCGAGGCCAGCCACGCAGTGGCCACGCCGTCCACGTCCCCGCCCAACAGCCTGCCCGTGAAGAGTGAGTGAGAGCCCCCGTTCCCACCTCCCTCTTGGCTGCCTGCCTTTCCACTCTCTGGGCATCGGGGGTGGGCGTGGGGGCACTTTCACACACTGTGTGAATCAGTCCAGTTGTGTGTGAACACACACTGAACGTGGCTCTGGAGGGTCAGAAGAGCCACACGGACGGCTCTTCACACCAGCAAGCAGGGTGGGCTTGGAATTAGTAGAAGCCACCGAGGGGTGGTTTGTCCTACCAGCCTCCCACGTCTGTCTGTCTGTCTTCCACTCAGCCTGACGCCTCTCCTTGAGCAGATGGTGTGCCTGCATGGCTGACAGAAGCTCTCCTTCCCTCATGAGGCTGAATGCCATGTTGTCCATGGTCAGGCTGGGCTCACACTCTTGGGGGGAGGAGGTGAGCTTGTGCCCTAGCAACCTCACTTTGGAGAACCCTGGGCCAGCCCGAGGCACTAGAGTAGCATCGTAGCAGAGGGTACCTCAGGGCTTGGCAGACCTAAAGCTCTATGTGGATGGTGGCTTCAAACTGCTATTACTTACACTTGTCAGCCCCTTGTCTGCTGTGATTAACATTGGAGTACAAAACTCTCCTGCAAGATACTGATTTGTCTGGAGAGGTGCCCCAGCCTGACTTTTTGAGGTGCTTTTTGAGGCTTTGGGCTTTCTTTGAAAAATCTGCGTGGTTCATGTGTAACTCAAAATGTGCTATCAACATGTGGGATGTCAGAGTTGGAAGAAAGACATTAAGATATAGAATGTTCTGGCTGAGAGATCCCTTAGAACAGGGGATGTCAGACCTGGGAGGGTCCTTGGAACAGGGGATATCAGAGCTGGGAGGGTCTCTGAAACAGGGGATGTCAGAGCTGGGAGGGGCTTTAGAACAGGGGATGTCAGAGCTGGGAGGGGCCTTAGAACAGGGAATGTCAGAGCTGGGAGGGGCCTTAGAACAGGGAATGTCAGAACTGGGAGGGGCCTTAGAACAGGGAATGTCAGAGCTGGGAGGGGCCTTAGAACAGGGAATGTCAGAGCTGGGAGGGGCCTTAGAACAGGGAATGTCAGAGCTGGGAGGGACCTCAGAGATCCTCTGGTTCTGTCTCCTTGTTTTTTTGGACAGTGGCACTGAAACTCCCGAATAGGGCAGAGTGCTTCCCTACAGTTAGTGCCAGATCTAGACCTACAGTCTTGGCCTCTCAGATTCTCTGCAGAAGACAAGAGAGCTGCCTGGGAAGGCCATGTCTTTCATTTGCCTGCACCATACATGGCATTTAAAGTCAGACTTAATGACTAAAGCAAAGCTGTCCACACGGTTGAGCCTTGAATGTAAAATAAGGTGAATTAAGAGCCAGGGTGGACCAGGGAGAATGAGGCCAGTCAGACAGGAGAGAAGCAAAGTCACCAAGATGTTCATTTTGAAGGCCTGGCATATAGCAGGAAGTGCTAGTTCTGGAGCTGGAGGAGCAGGGCCCAGAGCGCTGTGAGCCCCTCCGGGGGACTCTGTTTCCTCATGTGTCCCAGGAGGTTGGATGGGTTCGGCAGGCCTCGTTGAGTACCTCCTGTGGACACAGCCCAGGCCTGCTGTCGTGTCCATCTGAAGACACAGATACCCCGGGCTCTGTTTGGTAGCCCACCTCCCAGGGTGCTCCCTCATCAGCATGTCTGCCATCATAGTCTTTGGGAGCCCAGGCTCAGTTCCAGCCCACAGCAACCACATGAGCTCCCTCTGTCCAGGCCTCTGTAAATGTCAGTACTGGGAGACTGCGCTGGGCTGAGAGACAGGAGGACAGGGTCAGATCTCCCCTCCGATCCTTCTGAGCTGTGCATCCTTGAGCAGGTCGACCCCTCTGAGCCTCTGGCTTCAGCCTTGAACTCATCTCTTAGGTTTTAGACAGCTCCGGAGTAGTATTAATGGTGCTGTTACCAGTGAGGCATCAGAGCAGGGACATCGTGGTGTCCAGCTCACAGGGGCCTTAGAGATCGACTGGGTTTCCTTTATCAAGTCTGTGAAAGCCTTGCAGTGTATAGTTTGTGCTTCTCCAGGGAAGAAAATTGAGACCCCAGAGGTGGCTCTCAGAATAGCCCTCCCCTCATGCCAGTCAGCCTTCGGCCATTTAGAAACCATGTAGGTTTTTCTGACTCTGTCCCTGGGAACACATTTCACCTGCTGTTCAACCCCTCCACTCCTTCATTCAGGGGAGGGCTTCCTGTCCTGCACTCAGACTGGACCTTCCCTCCTGCCAGGTCTCTTCAAGCGTGCATTCCAGAAGTCCTCGTCGGTTCGGAACATCCTCAAGCCCATCGGCGGGAAGCGTGTGGACTCGCCAGAAGTACAGAAGGTCTGCAACGTCTGTGTGCTCTACCAGACCGCGCTGACCACCCTCACCCAGATCCGACTGCAGATCCTCACAGGTTGGGGACCCGGGGTCCTCTGCCCCTTCTCCCATTCTGTCCTTTGGTCTCCCCAGTAGAAATATGCCCCATCTTAGAGGTAGCGACTCCACTCCGCTCAGATGACCCTGCAGTCCCCTCTGGCCCTAAATCGAGGCTCCTTGGGTTCTCCTGGGCATCGGGGCTGGGCAGGGCCCAGCCTCTTTGTACCTCTTTCCTTGAGTCACATTCTTTTTTCTTTCCCCATGGTAGTTTAAGAGGAATCTCAGTCAGGGAGACACCTGATAAATCCATTGTCTCCGTACTGCCGAGCAGGGGTCCCCTCCTCCAAGGCTCACACCCACATTGGGTTGGGACCAGATCCCAAACCATCACTCTCTTCCTCTCCTTCCTGTTCCCTTCTGATTTTTGTTGGGGTTTTTGGGGTGGGAGGGAGAGGGGGGCATCCCAATGTCTGCCACAACTGCAGTGGTGATGCTTTGAGGCCTTTAGGAAAGGATCAAGGGACAGCTGGACTTTGGTCATTGTGGATGGAGGGCACCCCTATCAGTTGAATGGTGTCTGCCAAGTGGCTTTTGGAAGCATGGACCTGCTATAGGTCACCCAGTGACCAGGAGCTAGCCAGCTCCTGTTCCATCCCTCGCTCAGTGGTGCGTTAGGTGATCAGGAGAGGTCTGATCTCGACCCCGGGCTTTTCTCTGCCTTTCCAGGCCTCACTTACCTGGATGAGCTCCTGCCCAAATTGTGGGCATTCATCTGTGAGCTGGGCCCTCAAGGGGGCCTGAAGCTGTTCCTGGAATGTCTCAACAGTGACAACGAAGACTCCAAACGGCTGCTGGCCATGCTGACGTTATTCTGCGACTGTTCACGGCACCTCATCACGTAGGTGACTCCCCGGGTTTAGGCTGCCCTCCTAGAGAAGGGGGTCCTCTGTCTGAGGTCATTCCTTGTAACTGCAGCGAAAGAGAAGGACAATGTGTTCTTGTAACATTGGAAGAGAAGCCTCCAGGCCAGGTGGCGTCCTGAGTGCAGGACTGGATGTGGGCTGAGTGTTGCAGGATCTCAGGCTCACCAGGGACCTCCAAGGCCCCTCCCAGAGAATCTCCTAGATCCAGACTTCCCTAGGAAGTGTCTCCTCACTCCCTCAGGAGGCGGCCCCTGGCACTGCTGGGGAGCTCATCCTTTGTTACATCAGTTCTAAAATGACCTCTTTGCAGCTTCCATGCATTACTTAGGTTTCTGCCCTCAGGTAGGACAGAACAGGTCTAATCGGCCTCCCAGGTGGCAGATTTCTGAAGAGAGCTGTCATGTCCCCAGCCAAGTCCTTCAGCAAGAATCAAAGGCCCCTGGCCATCCCCCTGATCCCTCTCTGGGGCACCTACTGCCCTAGGCATGGCCTAGCCGGAGCTGAGGGCAGCAAGGCCATCAATCACCTCCTTCCCAGAAGGGACCATTTTTACTGCAGCAGCTAGAAGTCCTGGCCTGTCTCTGCTGTCCCGTCCCTGTCCCCCCCGAGGCTTTTTCAGAAGAGCTGCCACCTTGCTATCTCTCCCAACCCGCATGGCCTTATTCTGGGTATTGTGGTGGTTTGTTTCAGAATATTTATCTTTGTGGAATATCCTCTATTTCTTTCAAATGTTTGGCTTTGCTAGTATATAAAGGTACATAGATTCTAATAATTCTTTTTATTTCATCTCGATTGTACTTGTTTATTTTTAATTTTCACGATTTAATCCTTTTCCCTCTTTTTAATCGTTAGCTAGTGGTTTATCAATTTTCCTAAGTCTTTTCAAAAGACCATTTCCTATTTGGTACTTGTAGGGTTGATTTTTTTTTTTTGGTGAGGCAGTCAGGGTTAAGTGACTTGCCCAGGGTCACACAGCTAGTAAGTGTCAAGTGTCTGAGGCTAGATTTGAACTCATGTCCTCCTGACTCCAAGGCCGGAGCTCTATCCATTGTGCCACCTAGCTGCCCTAGGGTTGATTTTTTTTTTTAAAAACTAACAGGCATCTTTTCTTTCCTTCTCATCTCACCACATTCTTTCCCCACTGAAAAAGAAAACTAACTAGCCTGCTTTTCATTTTGGTAGTTAACATCAAACTGGGAGGAATATTCAACATGCTTGATGAGAGAATCCCAAAGATTTTGGCCAAAGATCAGCAATGAGATGATCATATTTATATAGGGCTTTAAGGTACACAAAATGCTTTACAAATATTATCTCATCTGAGCCTTACAGCGACCCTGGAGGTTAAGTGTTGTTATTATCCCCACTTTCCGGATAGGGAAACTGAGGCAATCAGAGGTGAATGATTTGCCCAAGGTTCCACAGCTAGGAAGTACCTAAGGCTGGATTTGAACTCAGGTCTTCAAGACTCCAGGTCTAGCACATTTGTCTGCCATGCTACCGGCTGCCTGAATCTAATGAGATGAAATTTAATAGTAATAAATGTGAAGTCTTGCACTTTGGTTTAAAAAAAAATGAACTTCACAAGGACAGAATGGGAATGACCTGGTTAGCAGTTCTGGGCTTTTGTGGATGACAAGTCCAGCCGGAGTCAGCAGCAGTCATGGTGGCCCCTGCTCTCCTGCCTGCCCCTCCTCTGGGCATTACAGAAGCCATGGAGCCACTGTGCTCTGCCCTACTAAGACTGTGTCCTGACTGGTCAGTTCTGGGGGACGTGTGCTGTGTAGGACCTTGACAGTCTGGGGAGGGTTGCTCCATCCCTAGGAGGGTGGCTTGGGGCATGGTCTGTGAAGGGTGTCTTGGGGAAGAGAAGCCAGGAGAAACAGGGAGGCGTTGCAGAGAGACAGATTGAGGCTCAGTGTCCAGAAAACCATTCTAAGTGAGGGCTGTCCAGTCGTCAGTCAGTGTTTATGAAGTGCCTGCTGCACACCGTGCCCTGGGCTGCGTGGAGGGGGAAGGCTGCCCCTTCCTTCTTGTAGGGAGATTGCGTTGAGCTGAGTGGTCCCTGGCATCCCCCTCCTTTCTCCAGTGCTGGGATTCTGGGGCCTTTTCTGCTGCATCTTTTGTCCTGCAAAAGCGAACGTTCTCCTTGCCATCTTCTGGTAGTTCTCTCAGCATCAGCCCTTTCTTTTTCATTTAGAATTCTCGATGACATCGAGGTGTATGAAGAACAAATCTCCTTCAAGGTCGAGGAGCTGGTCACCATCTCCTCTTTCCTGAACACCTTCATCTTCAAAATGATCTGGGATGGGCTTCTGGGTAAGGAAGAAGAGAATCACTAATCGTCTGAGGCCACAGGCCTTCCCGGAGGCCTGGAAGGCCTCATCCTCTCTCCTTGGGTGACCAGATGTGTCATTCATAACGTTGGAGAGAGGGGCTCCACAGTGAGGGCAGGGACCTGGAGGGGGGAGGTCCCAGTTCTGGCTCCAGATATGTGGTCATAGGCAAGGCTTGTCACCTGTCTGGGCCTTGGTTTCCTCCTTTGTAAAATAATAACTCACATTTATGTAGCACTTTATGGCTTACAAGACACCTTCTCAACAACCCTTTGTGGGACAAATATTATTATCTCCATTTGATAGAAAAAGAAACTGAAGCTCTGAAAGGGTAAGGAACTTGTCTGCTGTCTGGACAAGATTTACACTCAGGTCCAGGACTCCACCTTTCGTGGGGTTAATAACAATTGTGTAATTGACTTCCCAGAATTGTCTGGAAGTCTTCTAGTGTAATAAAAATGGATGTCAGGATTTTCATCCCCATCTAGCCCGGTTGAAAACATCTGGCCTTTTTTTGGCCCATTAGAAAACTCCCCTTTGCTTCAAGACCTTTCTTGGTGGGCCGGCGTTGCAGCTCCGTGTGGTGGACAGGCTTTAGGCCTCCTTCGAGGGCTCTCGTGAGCTCTACGGGACGTAAAGTACTGTACTGACCTGGACACTATTTCCACTCTGACCGTCCTCCTTGTGTGGCGGGGTATAAATGAGGGTCAGCTTTGCTTTGTCCCGAGAGCCAGTAACACAGAACTTCATTTGAAGTGGGAGCCCGGGCAGGGCACATGGTAGATTCAGGCTCCCAAGGTATTTCTTAGTGTTTCATTAAGAAAGGCGTAATCTTCTGTTCAAAAGTGGTTTGGACCTTTGGGTGGGTACGGTCTGGAGTGGGCAGAGGCCCTGGAGAGAGCTTGTCGGGAGACCTCGCTTCAAGCCTGGGCTCTGACACGTGGCAGAAAGGCTTTATTTGCACGGCTCTTGAAGGTTTGCAGAACATACATCCCGTCATCTGTGCCTCTGAGCGGTTCTCTGAGATGGGTGCTTACTGTATTGTTATCGCCATTTTATAGATGAGGGAACTGAGCTTGAGACCCCTGCCCATGGTTCCACAGCTAGTAAGTGGCAGAGGGTGCTCTCTGGACCCCAGTCAGCATTTTTCCACTTACAGCTTGTCTTGGCCAGTCACTTCAACTGTCTGAGCCTCAGTTTACTCATCCACAAAATGGCAGTGATTGTCCTTCGCTCTCTGCCCCACAGGGTATTTTAGGGGAAATGGTTAGCAAACCTCCACATGCAGAGGAGTCTCAGTGGTTTGTCCTTCCTGTCCTGAGCACAGGCCCCCAGGACTCTCTTTTGTGACCTCTCTGGGTGTCTCCCTTAGCGCTGGTTGGGGGTGGGGGGGATTGGATGGGGGCCATCCAGAGCCAGCTTCTTCCTTCTGCCTCTGCCGGCCATAGCCTGTGCTGTCTCAGACAGTGAGACCGTCCCCTTCACCCTGCAGACAACGCCAAGCCAGAGACCCTGGAGTTGTTCTTTTCGGTTCACGGGTGGCTGATGGTGCTGTATGAAAGAGATTGCCGCCGGCGCTTTGCCCCTGACGATCACTGGCTGCGGAAGTAAGTGACGCGGGGGTCCGAGGGGCTTCTGGAAGCAGCCGGGTTTGTGGTGACCAGCCATGGGTCAGCACCGTCAGGCTTTCTGGGCGGGCCCACCTCGTGCTGACCCTCTGCCCCGGCCCTCGTGAAGCATCTGCTGAGAGCATGAAGGCAGCCCCAGGGGTGGGCAGCATCCTGAGCCTTTTCTGTGTCCCAGATTCTGGGGGGGTCTGGTAAAAACTGGGGCCTCCTGCTCAGAATCAGTTTTAAATGCATAAAATTAAATACAGAGGATGACAGTGGAGGTCAGTTATATTGGGATAAAGATGTATTCTTTTCCCATCCAAGTTCAGAGATCCCAAGTTAAGGATCCCTGATATGGGGAGAAAGCATGGGACCAGCAGGCACAAGGTCTAGATTCTGATCCTGCTGCTGCCACCAAGTAAGTGCAGCCACGAAGAAGCCACTCCCCTCTCTGGGCCTCAGATGGTGGTGTCATGTTCACAATGGAGTCCATTCCCAGGTGCTACTCACACTTGTTTAATCTTCTTAAAGAGCATGGACAGCAAGGGGACGGGGTTAGACGCTCTCTCAGCGCCTGTCCATGTCTGAGGTTCCAGGGTTCCTGCTCAGACAGATGCTCTCTGAGAGGCAGGGGAAACACATTAGGGAAAACGGATTTGTTTAAAAGAAGGTGCTGCCTGACTCCTGGATGAGAACTTGTTCTCAGATGGTCTGGGTGGTTGGGCAGACCACATTTCTGTTGACACGAGCCTTACAGAGTGTCCCAGCTGGGTCGTCATCATCCCGTCCCCAACAAGTGGCCTTTGCTCAAGGGCCTCTGGCAGGGAGGACGCCAGGGCTTCCCAAACGCACTGCCCCTTTCTCTTCCTTGGACAACTCCAGTGGTGGGAAGTGTTCCCAGGCCTTGAGCTGAAATCTCTGTGGCTTCAGCCCACTGGGGCCCATTGCTGGAAGAGCTGAGGTTCAGATAACCATGTGAGACCTCAGAGATTAGTGTCTGCCCGGTTCAGGTGGATAATCATTGCTTGCTCCCCACCCCCGACCCTCCAGCAGCCCCAAAGGAGTGAATCTCGTTCACAAAAATGGCAGACTTTCATTTTCTGTCTGTTAGATTCCAGCTGTCATGTAGAATTAGAGAAAGTGATTTTTCCCATCTCACTTACTTATTTTCTCTTTTGTAAGGGATCTCAAACTCAGTGTGCTTTTCCAGGAACTGGAGAAGGACAGGAAGCGTGCCCATCTGATCCTACAGTTCATCCCTCACGTCATTCCCCACAAAAACGTGAGTAGCCGGCGGAGCTCGGTGCTCCCCTCCTTCCTGAGGCGCCGTCTCGACAATGTCCTGATTGTGTCGTGCGCAGCGAGGCTCCTCTTCTAAGGGTGGGGGACTCTCTCCGCCTTGGGAGATGGCTGTGAGGCTAGGAAGGGGCCGGGGGGCGGGCTGTTGTCGGGGCCTAGTGTGAGGTCGGGAACATCGCGGGCAGCCACGATGCTCTAGACTCTTCCTGAAAACCCAAAGCCTCCTCCCAGCGCTCGCTGTCAAGCCAAGTGTCCAAGCGTCCGGGGCCTAGTGTGAGGTCGGGAACATCGCGGGCAGCCACGATGCTCTAGACTCTTCCCGAAAACCCAAAGCCTCCTCCCAGCGCTCGCTGTCAAGCCAAGTGTCCAAGCGTCCGGTCAGCACTTAGGCCGTACCAGGCTCTGGGCTGGGGGCCCAGCCTCGTTGGTTTCTGGGTCAGTTTTGAGGACTATTTTCTCATAGCATATTCCTAACTGATGTCGAGAATGACTTGATCCAGCTTCAGGGCATTTCAGAGACCCTGAGGTCCCGCTGCGGCCTCTCCCTCTAGACTGGACTTCCCATTTCTGCCTCTCAGCTGAGCTGGTTGTTCCCTACATAGGCCTTCGGTCTCCCACCTCCCAGCCTGGGAATGCCCTCCCTCCTCATGCCCACCTGCTGCTAGAATCCTTTCCTCATCCTCACGCTTAGAAGTGCACTCCCTTCCCTCCCCTTACGTCTCCAGAACTGCTTTGGAGTCACCATGTATAGGTGTTGTATGTATTTGTCTGTGAGCGGCTTCTCACCCCTCCCCCATTCCCCAAGAGAGCTCTATAAAGGCCTGGGCCCTCTCGCATTTTGTTTATGGTCCCCTGCCTAGGGGACAGCGCAGGTAAACAGGGGCTTAAGGAGTTCTTGTTGAGTCTGGGAATGGATGAAGCCCCTTCAGTTCAGTGAATGTTTGCTAAGGCCCAGATGCTACATGGTAGGCCCTGGAGGGCGCTGGGCTTCCAGAAGCAAGAAACACGGTTTCTGCCCACAGAGGGAGCATGGTGTGCACAGAGGTAAACAGATGAAAAGAGGCAGGTGCGGGGAAAGAGGGAAGAGTTGGAACTGCCCCCGGAAGGGCTTGACTGGGGATTGCTTCGGAGCGTTCCTAGAGGACGGGATGGAGGACCAAAGCTGCACCGTACTAGGATAACATGGGGGGAGGGATACATTCAGGAAACCAGAAACTAATAAACTTAATATTGATCTGCAACGAGACTCTAAACTGAATTATTCTGCAGAGAAGATATCAAGTCTAAAAATCCCGGGGTGCTAAGAGCCACCATAGAGAGGTTCACTGTAAACAAGGGGTTATATTTATATACTAGATGAAGAAGCAGACACCGAAGTACAGAAGGGCACACCCCCAAGGAAGCAGGGCCAGAGCCAGAAATGGGAAAGGAGCAGGGGCAAGGACAGTAAAGGATGTCTGGCTGCCTGCCTGGTGCTCGTGGACCATCTTCCGACTGGGCCAGGGGCGCATGTGGCTCAGTGATAGTCACCAGCAGACCCGAGTCGCCCTTTGTTTTAGAGTGTGGCTTCCCTTGACCACTGGTGAAACATTCACAGGTCCCACAAACTCGCTTCCGTTGCCAGCTAGACTTGTCAAAACTGGTTGGTGGCAGGTCCTAGGCCCAGGGGTGTCACGCAGTGGTTTTCCCTGGGCCCGGCGTGCTCCATTGCTGACCCTGGCCCTGCCTTTGCTGATTTCAGAGAGTGCTCCTGTTCCGAAACATGGTGATCAAGGAGAAGGAGAAGCTCGGGCTCGTTGAGACCAGCTCGGCATCCCCTCACGTCACACACATCACCATCCGAAGGTCCCGCATGCTGGAGGTGAGTGGTCCCCGTCACTGAGTCAGTCGTGACGTGTTTGCATTAAACGTGGAGAGGAGAGCATTCTGACTCAGTAGAACCTCCAAGCTCTTCACTGGCTCAGATGCACGAGAGCCTTGGGGAAGCGGCTTCTGGGCTGCTGGATGCGGGGGTGGCTTTTCTGGTAGCTGCTCTCGATTTTAGAATCCGGTTGGTTGTGAGATGTCAGGGAACTAGCCAAGTGTGTCTCAGCTCAGGCTGCCTTCTGTATTTCTCTGGTCAGCTGCTTGGGTCTTAGAACCACAAGGCTTGGGTACAGAGTGACGATGTCTGCATGTCACACAGCATCAGAGCCTGAAAACTCGGTAGAAGAAGTGTGCCGGCCAGTTCACACTGTGAAGCGTGCCCTTTGCCTGTCCGAGGTGTTCAGAGCCACAGGGCGTTCCTGAGGAGTGAAGGGTTTAATCCCCGCCCTTAGTCCGTAGTGGCAGACTGCGTCAGGTTCACACTCACTCCGAGTCCTCGGGAATCCCTTTGACCTCCCGCCACCCCCGAGACCGAGCAGGGCATCCTTCCTGTTCTCCTGGGTGCCTGTGCTCCATTCATTCACGTGTCTCACTGCCAGGATTGTAACCCGCTTGTCTGGGTTTCAGGACTAGTTATTAAAGCCTTTTGGGTTTGGATGTGACACCCCACCCCCCGCCCACCTTGCGTGGAGCCCTCCTCATAACAAAGGAGAAACGGGAACCCCGAACATCTCCTTCCCGTCCTGCCCTCTCGGGCCTCACAGCCCCCTGGGTGGAGGGAGGCCTGTCTTAAGACTCTGGGGCCATTGCTGGCTTTCACTTACCCGGAGCTCAGCTCGTTTTTGGAATTATTGGGTAAATTGTTCCTGTTTGCCTAGATTCCTTGGGACTCCTTCCTGCTCAGCGGTATGTGGTGCCCTGATACCATGCTTGCTGAGCAATTCAGTCATCAGGGGGTGGCCTTGGTGGGCCATGTGCCCAGCTCTCACGTTGTGGTCCCGGGTGGCCCAGCCCACTTTTTTAGCCTTATCTCTTCTGGCTCTTCCAGATGCTTCCTGGTTTCCCACCTCTTTGCCTTTGCTTGTGTCCCCTCTCCTGGCATGCCCTCCCCCAGCCAGTCCTTCGGGGCCCAGCTCAGGTGCTGTCTCCTTCAGGATGCCTTTCCCAGCACTCCCTCCCTCAGGTCGATGTAGGTCTGCTGCCTCAGAGACCCTTGGTCCTGCTCCACTCCTGAGCTGGCATGTTGGGTCCTACAGTAATGTGCGTGCAGTTGTTAGCTGCCCTCCTGGCCCGGGAGACCCTGGAGGCCAGCGACCACACAGGGACTGACCCAAAGTTGATGCTCAGTAAATCTTTGTGAATGTGAGCCAGGTGCAGGGTAGAGGGGAAGACATCCCACCCTCCCCACTCCAGCACACACGTCTGGTCTAAAGTTCCTAGCCTATGAGCTATGAGACTCTGGGGAAGTCACTTCACTTCTCTCTGCCTCAGTTTTCTCATCAGTAAAATGGATATAATAATAGCACCTCCTGCCCAAGATCAAATGAGATATTTGTGAAGTACTTTGCAAACCTTAAAACACCATGTAAATGCAAGGAAACACGGGAGGAAGGAAGGGAGAGAGGGAGGGAGGGAGGGAGGACAGGAGAGAGGGAAAGAGGAAGGGAGAGAGGAAGGAAGGAAAGGAGAGAGGGAGGAAGGAAGGAAAGAAGGGGGAAGGGAGGGAGGGAGGAGGGAGGGAGGGAGGGAGGGTTTGAGGCTCATGAATAGAAGAAAGCTTCTTGGCACCCTCACATTCCAGCAGCAAGTGCTACCATCTGTTTGTGTCTGGGGAGCTGGAGGGCTGTGGCCAGGGGGAGGGGGGAGGCTCCTGGGTCTGACCATTTGTCAGAGTGACCTCCTGTTGGCCCCATGGTTCCCAGTGGGGAGTGGAAAGAACATTCCTCTCCACTTGGAGGGCAGGGAGACCTGATTTCTAATCCTGCCTGTGCGGCTGTGAGCAAGTCCCCTCTCCTGGCCAGGCCCGGCGCCCTCCATAGTGAGGCGGATGCTCATGATGCTGCATCCTGGGGCTGCTGTAAGGCCCTCAGCAGTCCAGGCATGTGAGGCTCCGTACTGAGCATTGGAGGAGCAGAGCTGCGGCAGCTTGGAGGACTCAGCCCAGTCCCTGCTGCCACCCCCACCCCCTAACCCCCATTCGATCTCACTGCACAGTTTGCTGTCTTGGAGGCTCGAGGCTCCAGCAGAGGCGAGTTGTCCTAGCTGACGCCGCCCAGACTCCCCTTTTGGCAGAGGGCTGTGCAGGGATATCTCCGACCAGCTCCATCCTTTCCGCAGACGCAGGGATAGGAGCGATGAGGCCAGCTTTCCCTCGCGCAGGTGCCGGCATCACGACTCTCTTGGGGCCACCTGGCCATTAGACTTGAGGAGCAGCCTCGGGGGGAGGGTGGGGACGGCCTGGAGAGCTGTGTCTGAGGGGCGCAGGAGGGTGTAGCGTGGCACTGCTGATGGACTGTCCCTCTGGTCTGGGCAGGATGGCTATGAACAGCTGCGGCAGCTCTCGCAGAATGCCATGAAGGGTGTGATACGTGTGAAGTTTGTCAATGACCTGGGAGTGGACGAGGCCGGCATTGACCAAGACGGAGTGTTCAAAGAGTTCTTAGAAGAAATCATCAAGAGGGTGTTTGACCCGGCGCTAAATCTGTTCAAGGTGCGTGTTGGGGGAGGGCGCTGGAGGGGACCTGTGGCAGAGGAGGGGGTGGAGGGGGCCGGGCCCCGGCTCACCCAGGCTGTCTTTGTGCTTTGTAGACAACCAGCGGCGATGAGAGACTCTACCCCTCGCCCACCTCCTACATCCACGAGAACTACCTACAGCTCTTCGAGTTTGTGGGGAAAATGCTGGGCAAGGCTGTGTACGAGGTGAGCTGTGGGTGAGTGGGGGGCCAGGACCCTGGCTCTGCTGCCCTCAGGGCCTCTTCCCCCTACCCGTGCACCCTGGGGCGAGCCCCAAGATGTGTGGGGGTTGTGGCCCCTTCCAGCTCTAGAGGTGCTCTGATGAGATCATCCAGCCCAGCAGTGGGGAGTCTCTAGGCTAAGCCCAGTCCCCTGGGGACCCCACCTCTGTACTGAGAGGAAGGACGCTGGCAGCTTGGCTTTGGAGTTGGTGCCACGGGGCTGGCGGTCCTGGTTCCGTCACTTCCTGGGCCAGTTCAAGCCTCAGTTTCCTTGTGTGTAGAAGGGGAGCCATTCCATTTAAATGTCAGCCTCCCTGGGCTGATAGGAGAGTCCAGTGGGGCCTCATTCGTCTCATGCTTTGGGACCCTCATGTGCTTTCTTGGTGCCAGGCCGGGATCCCGTGAGGTGTCACTCCAGATTCTTTTCTCTGTTTTTGGTCTCCATGGCTGTTGTGAAGGGAGCAGGGGAGAGTACAGGGAGCTGGAGTCAGCAGACAGGCCAGGGAGGCAGCAAACGGGGCCAGGGCCTAGCATAAACTCCAGAGACGGAGTGAGCCCCTTGTGGGGCAGACTCCCCTTCCTACTTAGACAGCAGAATTCTGGGTAATAGGGTGGGCTCCTGTTATCACTGGGAGGGGGAGGGGGGGGGGAACCAATTCAGATCTTTGAGAACTACGGAAACAGACTAGGCCTCATGGGCCCCTCTCCCCAAATCGTTTCCTGGGGCTGGGGAGTATCTGGGAGCCTGTGCTGTGGTGACCTCCTCAGCAGCGGCCTGAGCAGACATAGGAGAGTTCATTTCATGCTTCATTACAAACGTAAGAGACAATGATGTTTACAAACAGAAGAGCCACCAGCAGGGGACATGGATGTTCCATGTTTCCCAAAGAGTGGGGTGGGGGTGAGAGAGGATCTGGACGAGGGGAAGGGGATGGTGCTGACAGAATGCGCGGAGGGGGAATGCATTGGCCTCCCTCCCTGCAAAGTCTTATTGAATCGAAGAATCCAGGGAGTGTGGAAAGGACCTTGGAGGTCATCGAGTCCGAATCCTCAAGGATTCATCTCTTGGCATCCCCAGCTAGAGGCCCAGAGCCCCTCAGGTTCGATTCCTCCTGGAGACGTCCTCAACTGCGGGAGAGTTCTGCCGTCTGCCGGGAGCCGATGTCTGCCTCCCCGTAATTCCCACTCGTGGCTCCACGCTCTCCCCTCTGTGGCTGAGCCCTCCCCTGAGCAGCTCGAACACCAGCATTTAATGGGGGGCCTGCTGTGTGCCAGGGACTGCACTAAGGGTTAGGGATGACGTGATCCCTGCTGCCAAGGGGCAGGCACTGTGTCAGAGGAGATCCTGTGTGTCCACACACATGTGCACACAGACACACCTGTCTGTGCACAGCGGACAAATACAAGGCAGTTTGAGAGCTGGGACGATAGCAGGTGGAGGGGCCCAGGAAAGGCTTCATCTTGAAGGTGGTCCTGGTACTGACAGCCATGGGGCCCCCACAGTTCTCCAGGCTCACCAGCCCCGGGTCCCTTACCCTGGGATGGTCACGTCGTCTGGCTTTATTTCCTGGAGTGTGTCCTTGTCACTTGCCTGGACCAGCCTCTCTTTCTGTAGCCTTATGTTCGCCACCTGGGTGAACATTCTGCTTTTCCCTTTTGCTCTGTCACTAGCATGGGGCCAGAGACCAGGGAGGAAGGCTGGAATGGGGACGTGCTGAGTAGCTGACGACCCCCTTGCCTTACATTCGTGGGGGATGGTTCTGGTCTGTTTTCTTTGTAACATCATCGCTGTCCCCAGGATGCCATATGGCTGTAAGCGATAGGACACCACAGTCTCCAAAGAATGAGTAGGGCCCCCCAAGGCAGTAGAGACCTTCAGGCAGGTGGCGATGCATTCCCAGAAAGGCGTCGCACCTGTGATGAAATGTGCACAAGGCCATGGCAGACCAGCGTCGGAGGCCAGCCAGTCTGTGTCAAGAGTGCGGGTACTCACGCAGGGACGAGACGTGGACACAGGATAAGAATACACAAAGGGGTTCCCACCAATGCCGGAATCCCGGTAGGGGCTGCTGCCCACCCCCACCAGGATGATCTGGGAGCTGCTGAAGACGTGTTCCCTCCTGCAGCTGCCCGAGGGTCGAGGGTCTCCGGGCACTGTCTGAGGCTTCCTTCTCTCTTGTGTTACAGGGGATCGTGGTAGATGTGCCTTTTGCTTCCTTCTTCCTAAGCCAGCTGCTTGGACACCATCATAGTATCTTCTACAGCTCGGTGGATGAACTGCCTTCCTTGGACGCAGAGTTCTATAAAAACCTCACTTCTATTAAGGTTGGTGTGATTTGAGCCCCTTGGCATCCATGAAGCTGGAGGGGGCTTATAGACGAGTGGGAAGGCCCGAGGAGGAAGCAACATGATTATTAGGAAACGGTCCCGTCCCTTCACTTCCCCTCCCTCTGCTGGCCAAGGTTCGCTGCTGGGAACGCTGGCTTGAGGGGCTGGGGCACTGCCTCCTGTAGTGGCCCCAACTGTGTCCAGTAAAGGAAAAGCCTGTACTGGAGGGGGTTTTGTACGCTGAGGTCGAGATCGGGGGAGGATTGGGTGTTAGGAAGGAGGCACTCAGGGGTCAGGAGGTTGGGGGCTCCCCCTTCTGTCCAAGCTGTGAGCTACCCCACCACTCCCTCCATTCTCATTAAAGTGATTCAAGGTTCATCTTAGTGGCCACTGCAGGCCAGGGGCCCCTTCTGTGAGCTGGATCCGGAGGCTCGTAAGAGCCCATGGCCTGTTTCCAAGGACCTAGAGGGGGAGTTTGTCCTTGCCAAGACAGCTCTTTTTGCAGCCCTGAATGTCCCAATCAAAGGAACACACTCAGGAGGAGGGAGAGCTTCTTGGCCCTGACACCTTTCCCATCTCTTTCACTAGCGCTACGATGGAGATATTAGCGACCTGGGCTTAACGCTGTCGTATGATGAAGATGTGATGGGTCAGGTGGGCTCTTTGTGTGTTCCCCTCCCTCTGTTTGCTCCAGCTCTGTTTCCTCGGCCCTCTGCGTCTGTCCCCAGCCCCTGCACACAGGGCCGCTGGGCGGCAAGGGCCTGGGAGCTCCCCAAGCATGTCCAGGCTGGGCCCTTCTGCTGCTGACTCCTGTGGAAGCCTGCTCTGCAGACCCGGCTGTGCTGATGTCATACCTGGGGAGAGTTCTTGCTGGGTCCGTAATCTTCTCTGGTGATATGGCTGCTGGTTGCCATGGTGAGGACTAGGCTCTGGCAAGCCGAGGATTGTAGGCCTTTTGGTGGAGGAAGGAGCAGGCCAAAGGCTGCCTCTTACTGCTGGCCTGGCCGTGTTTGTACTCCTCAGGAAGAGGGAGAAGGGAGACTCCAAAATGCGGAGGTGCACTGGTGTCTTTCCCGTGGCTCCTTTGGAGAGCTCCTACCTCTCACCATCTCTTGTAGTCCACACAGATCTGTAGGTGTGGGGGCACACATGTACATGCACATACAGTACATGTAGACACACACACAATACATATGCACACATACATGCCACATCTGTCTCCAAGAAACCAGATGTGGCCTGTGTTCACCTTGGCTTGTGGCAGATCCATAAATGGGAAATGAGGTCTCCTGAATTTGTAGGGGAAATTGCCCTCAAGTCTATGCACGAAGGAGTGTTCCTTTTCTATCAAGGGCAAGGGTTGCTTTAAGGGTTCCTGGATGTGCCCCACAGGAGGGTGAGCACTTTTCTTCTAACCTCTCACTCTGTCCTTCATCGTCAAGGCCGAGTCAGGCTAGCTTGGGGTATCAGAAAGGACCCTCTGGGCTCATGTAGGCAGACTGTGACCATGCTGCTTTGTGGGGAGCTAGTTCTAAGCAGTCTGTCCCTGTTCTGTGGTTATCCTGGGAGTTTACCTAGTCCGTCCGTCTCCAGGAAAATGCCCGTCCAGTAATTACAATGCAACCTTCTTCCTCATCAGCTTGTTTGCCACGAACTGATTCCTGGAGGGAAGACCATTCCTGTGACAAATGAAAATAAGTGAGTATCACAATTAGGTTCTTTAGGTCATCACTTGGAAAGACTTCATTCTGTCTCTGCAGCCTTGCACGGGGTATTTATTAAGATCGATGGAAGTAGAAAAAGGCCATAAAGACCGTAATGGAATTTGCCAGTTACAGTTCATAGGCAGAAATTCGATTTGCAAAGTAAGAATTGACAATCTGTTGTTTGCACTAGCGCTTCTGAGGTCAAAGGCGGCCAGGCCGTGGCGTTCCGAGGGGCTCAGTGACAGCTCTAGATACAGACGGATGGATTCTGAGCCATCCAGGCACATGCGCACAGAGGGACCCCTCACCCGGGAATGATAGCTTGTGGCAGGCATCTAAAGGCCCTTCCTCCAAAGGCACTGTGATGAATCCAAATGCTACTTAGACACAGAAAATCAGATGTGCCTTGGAGCCCTGCAGCTATTTTCACAGATAACCAGCTTTAGGAAATCTGTTATCAACATCAGCCTTTGGAGCCTGTGAAAAGCAGGCTTGCCTGCCACACCAGCACTGCCCATCCTCATGCCCAGCTCATTAAACCCACTGATCTGTCTCATGCTCAGGAGTCAGCATTGGCCCCTCTCTCCATCTCCATCTGTTTGACAGCCTCAGATGAGCTTGCTTATCACTACCAGCAGCCTTCCAGTGTTGAGGCAGGGAGGGCCCCCTGAGCTTCCACCTGCTTGGATCCACCAGGCTTGAGGCTGGGCAGATTGGTCAGCCTGGACTGAAAGGGAATCCTTCCATCTCAGACTAAGCCACAAGAGCAGCCTGTTGGGGCTCAACAGAAATTCAGCCTCCGCCTCCCCTGGCCCTGCAGGGCCGCTTGAGAAGGGAGACTGAGACAGGAGAGGCCCGGCCTGTGTTACCTGGCACACACTGCTGTGATCGCGCTTCATCTCACGCTCTACATAGAGGGCCGGGCGAGCTAGCACAGAGAGCGCTCCCTGAGCATCCAGACCGGCTCAGGAGGCCCGCTGAGTGGTCAGAGGAGCCCTCAGACTCCTTCATGCTACAAGGGCAGAAACTGAGCCTGGCCCAGAGAAGGGAGGGAGGGAGGAAACTCCTGCCCATTGTTCACAAAGGATAAATGGGAGAGTCGGGTCCTTGGATGCCAAGTCATTGTGTAGCCACAGAGAGAGCTCACTAGGGTCAGCATCATCTCATTTGATAAGAGGAAGAATCCTTCTGTATGGGTTGGTTGGGGTTTTTTGTGAGGCAGTTGGGGTTAAGTGACTTGCCCAGGGTCACACAGCTAGTCAGTGTCTGGTCGGAGACCGAAATTGAACTCAGGTCCTCCTGACTGCAGGGCTGGTGCTCTATCCACTGCGCCACCTACCTACCCCGATAGGAATTATTTTTTAAAATTATTTTATTTCATTAAATATTTCCCAATTACATTAAAAAAAATTTTTAACAATTATTTTTTTACATTTTGAGTTCCAAATTTCTCCGTCTCTTCCTACCATCCTCCCTCCTTGAGAAGGTAAACGATCTGAAATCAATTATACATGTAAAGTCATGCAAGACACATTTCCGTATTCGCTATATTGCAAAAGAAAACGATAAAAATTAAGAGGATAACAAAACACTTCAATCTGCATTCACAGTTCATCAGTTTTCTCTTTGGGGGTGGATAACATTTTTCATCATGGGCTCCTTTGGAATTATCTTGGATCATTGCCTTGATCAGATAACTAAGTCTTTCACAGGTGATCTTCATTACAATGTTGCTGTTTACCGTGCACAGTATTCTCCTGATTCTGCTCTTCAGTTTGCATCAGTTCATATAAGTCTTCCCACTTTTTTTGGAACCGTCCCGCTCATCATTTCTTATAGCACATTCGTATTCCATCAACATCGTGTACCACAGCTTGTTCAGCCATTCCCCAATTGAGGAGCATCTCTTCAACTTCCAATTCTTTGTCACTACAGAAAGATCTGCTATAAATATTTCAGTACAAACAAGTCCTTTCATCTCTTTGGGATACAGCCCTAGAAGTGCTATTGCTTGGTCAAAGGATATGCATAGTTTGTAGCCCTTTGAGGATAGTTCCAAATTATTCTTCAGAACGATTGGACTGGTTTACAGCTCTACCAGCAGTGCATCAGGGTCCCAATTTCTCTCATTCCCTCCAACGTTTGTCATTTTTCTTTTCTGTTATGTTTGCCAGTTTGATAGGTATGTGGTGGTATTATCTCAGAGTTGTTTTAGGTTTTGCATTTGTCAATATTAATCAATAGAGATTTAGAGCACTTTTTCATGTGACTGTTGATAGCTTTGATTTCTTTTTCTGAAGAATACCTATTCATATCCTTTGACCATTTATCAACTGGGGAATGGCTCTTTATTTTGATAAATTTGGCTCAGTTCCCTGTATGTTTAAGAATGGAGGCCTTTATCAAAGAAACTTGCTATAAATTTTTTTCTTTTTTCTCTTTTCCTTCTAATTTTTGTGGCATTAGTTTTATTTGTGCAAAAAATCCATTTTACGTCCTATGATGCTCTCTATCTTGTTTGGTCATAAAACTCTTCCCTTATCCATAGATCTGACAGGTACCTTTTTCCATGCTCCCCTAATTTGCTTATGATATTACCCTTCGTGTCTAGATCATTTATCCATTTTTGCTTTATCTTGGTATATGGTGGGAGATGTTGGTCTCTACCTAGTTTCTGCCAAACTGCTTTCCAGCCTTCCCAGCAGTTTTTGTCAGATGTTGGGTTCTTACCCCAAAAGCTTGGGTTTATCAAACACTAGATTATCGTGGTCATTTACTCCATTGTACCTCATCTATTCCACTGATCCACCGCTTTATTTCTTGGCCAGTGCCGAATTGTTTTGTACTTGTACTATAGTGTGAAATCTGGAACTGCTAGACTGCCTTCCTTTGTTCACCTCGATATTCTTAACCTTTTGTGCTTAGTAAAACTGATCTTTTGATTAAAGTAAGGCAGGAAGATTACCTCTTGAAAATTTTTCAAAGTGAATGTTGAAAACTAAAATTAATTAATTATCAAAAAAAATAAGAAAATTTTTCATTATTCTTACAGATCGTCTAGTCCAACTCCTTATTTTACAAATAAGGAAGTAGAAGGCCATGGTAGAAAAGTGTGATAGCCATGATCAGAAAATATATTTTGCTTTTTGAAAGCAGGTTTGAAAAATCCACATTATCTCTTGTTTGATAAGAGAGACTGAGAGGATTTTTTAAATTGGTTGGTTTTTCATGGAAATAAGAGAGAGTGAATGTGACGTTCCTCATCGTTTCTTTGGCTGAAAGCATTGTCAGGGTTGACGTACAGAAGGCCTCCTGCTTACAAGGGGATCTCTGAAGTCCCTTCCGGCTCTTTCAAGCACTTAATGAAGAAAACTGGCTATTTTGTTAACCTGAATTGTTCTTCCTTTCTTTGGAACAGAATTAGCTACATTCACCTGATGGCCCATTTCCGGATGCACACTCAGATCAAAAATCAGACAGCTGCTCTCATCAGTGGATTCCGCTCTATCATCAAGTCTGAGTGGATTCGAATGTTTTCAACCCCTGAGCTGCAGCGCCTAATCTCTGGTGACAACGCAGAGATTGACCTCGAAGACTTGAAGTAAGGCAGGGATTGACATCTGCGTGCCCCTTAGAAAGTAGGGTGCCAGGAGCTCTCCTGGAGGGGCTCCAAGAGGCAGAATCGCCGCCCACGTCACTGGGACGGCTGCGGGTCTGGGGCGTGTGTCGGCCTCTGGTGGGGAGCAAGGCCACCCCCCGATGCTTAACCTCAGGGATTCGGGAGACACTGGCATTCCAAAGCAGTGTGGCTTTAAGGGGTAGCGGTGTGAGAGCTGGCTGGCGAGAGAGTTCCCTGAGCCTGGGTGTGCACGTGCATCATGGCTGCAGCTGATTCTGAGTGCTCCAGTCAAACACATTCTGTGCCGAATTTCTGAACAACAAATTCTTTCTCAGGAAACACACTGTGTACTATGGTGGCTTTCACGGGAGTCATCGAGTCATCATTTGGCTTTGGGACATTCTGGCCAATGACTTTACCCCAGATGAGAGAGCCATGTTCCTGAAAGTAAGTTCACCTGCCATCTTGTGTCCTGGGGCACAGACTTTCTTTGTAACCTCCTATGCTAAGGCCACCGTGTCCTGTGACCTCATGAAGTAGTAACTGGTGACTCATCAGACATCCTTCCCCTGTGAAGGTCATGGTGCCAAGCCATTGGATGTGGGGCTTGAGGGATTGAGAGACATGTGGGGGCGACGTCCCCAGCAATGGATCCTGGGGACAACCAGATCCAGCGGTGGGAATATTCAGTCCCACTGGTCTGTCTGCTTAACAGGAAATCCATGAGCCTTGTCTGCCTCCCCAAATATATCCAGGCCTCTCCCTTCAGGGGAGTGTGGAGAGCCCTTGAGCAAGCTTCAGAAGCCGGGCTCCTGTCTTAGCTTTGCCACTTACTAGACAGTCACCTTACTGCCCTCTGCCTCAGTTTCCTTTTATGTAGATTGGGAATAATAATACCAGACTCCCTGACAGGACTGTTATGTGGAGAGCCCTTTGGGAGCCTACAGTGCCCCTAACACGTGAGGTGGTACTTTAGACATACGAGTGACCTCCTACCAGCAGTGAATGGCCCTGTGATTTTCAGGGCTTTGTCGCTTTTTATGACACATTGTCAGAAGAAAAGACCCCACCCCCACCCCTCAGGCCCAGAGTCATCCTGCTGCCCACAGTTCTGCTCATTCTCTCCTGGGACACTGAGCCAAGGAAGAGAAAGAAGTGCAATTATCCAGTAGATGGATGGACAGCATTACATCTTCATTTTCACTACCATCTACCTGAAGTTTTAGCATTTCCTTCAGTTTTGAATGTAGGCAACAGACATTCTTCTGAAAAGGGTCACCAGGCTGCCCCCAAAGGTGAAGGATCACTCCTATATGTTTAATGTTTCGGGGCGTCAGTGCAACAGCCGTCAAGCTCTCTGTCATTCTTCATCCTTGCCGCATCAGCCCACTTTCTTTCCATCATACATTGATTTAATGGCATCCTCTTGTCTCCTTCTTGTGAGGGGGTCACTGCTGGACATAGGTTGCTGCAACTGACTTGTGCCCATCTCTCAGGCTTCCTTTGGGTCACCGACAACTTTGATTTGTTAGAGGTTGTGATGTTCCAGTATTCACAACAGTTTAGCATCATCAGGAGAACATTTTGTGTTCTTAAGTTAGTTTTTTGTGCCATGGAGTAACTTGGAATCATTAGAAGTTCCATTAATTTTCCAAATGTAATCTAGCATGCCCTCTTCTTCCACTTCTGGGCCTAATGCATTGTCCATCTTCGGTGTCTAGCTTAGATTTATGGACTCAGGGATCCATATTCTAAGTACATAATAGGTGCATGAATTGTTTTCATCCATTTTGTTTTTCTTGTGTGGATTGTTAAACTGCTCCTTACTGAAGAATGCTAGATTCCCACCAAGGAGCTCCCCCAGCGCCCTTTCCCACTGCTCACATCTGGGTACCTCTGAGCCAGTGATCTCACGGCCGCAGGTCTGTATCATCGTAGGAGTTGGTTAGGTGTTAAACAGGAAAAAGGAGCCATTTGTACAAAAAGATTCGTGTCTGCTCCAGGGGAAAACTAAGGATGATTAGACTACAGTGATTATGTGAGAAGCCTCAGAGAGGATGGCCAGCAGTAGGAAGAAGGCTGGCCCACACCTGGCCTCACTCTAGGTGGAATTGAAAGAGCAGTGTATACATTGGTTACAGCATAGAAAAGGACCCAGCAGCGATGTGAGCGCAGCATAGTGAAGGCACAGAAACCACAGGCTGGTGGAGGAGAAGGCCCTGGCTTTGGAGGCAGAGAATGCGGGTCTGTCCCTGTTCTGCTCTTTCCTGCCCAGATGGCCCTGGCAGGTTACTGCCCTCTCTGTGCCTGGCTTTCCTTTGTCAAGTCGGGGGTGTGGGCAACATGATTTCTCATGTCCCTCCTAGCCCCAGGCCCTAGAATTGTCTCCAAAAATCAGTTTTATTAGCAATCTTTTTATTAAAGTTAGACTCATGTGTGTGCGTGTGTTAAACAGAAATGTGCATAATGCAAATTTTGTGATTTTGTTTGGGGCCCAATTCCCTATCGCTGATGTTTGGTTTTTGACAACACGGTTTATCATTTTAAAAACCTTTTGAAACAGCAGAACTAGAGAGATGACAGTGTGTGATGGGAACGGCCAGAGTGTAAGCAGACGCATCAGCTGCTTAGTATTTGTTGTTGTTACCTCTTGTGAACATTCATTTTTGTAAGAGACCCAACGTGACCTGGACCGAGGGCTCACTCCCACCTTGAATGTTGTGTTTTGTTCCAGTTTGTGACCAGCTGTTCCAGGCCCCCACTTCTAGGATTTGCCTACCTCAAGCCTCCTTTCTCCATCCGCTGCGTCGAGGTGTCGGATGACCAGGTACTGCCAGGCCCGGGTCAGGGCGGGGGCAGGGTACTGATGCCACCAGGTGAGGCTGCTGCTCCCTCTAGCTACTTCTGGAGCTCCGTCTCCATTTGAGCCTCCGCTGGCTTGGAATCCTCAGAGCAGGCTGCTGTAGGGGATGGGGATGTGAGGAGAGGCATGGTGGTTAGACAGGTGCCAAGCTTGGCCAGGGATATGCCAGTGTGTCGGCGATGTGGCATTCCCTTCTCCCTCAGCCGGCCCTACAGAGATGCATCATGTTGGGGACGTACCTTATGGCAATAACCGTCTGCCAAAGTGAATCCTGTCGTGGAGTGGCAAGGGTGCTCAGTTTGGGGTCTGATGAGCAGGGGTGGGATTCTGGCTCAGCCACTGGGTGACCTTGGGCCAGTCCCTTTGCTCCTCAGGGCCTGTTTCCTCTTCTGTGACCACATAGAGTTCATAGGGTGCCTGGCAGCCTCTGACCCCATTAGGTGGGATCCCCACACACCTCTGCCCTGGGGTAGGAGCCCTAAGACCTTGTCCCGTCCTGTCTAACCTCAGAGGAAGACGAAGCAGCATTCAGACTGTTCTCCATGTTCAGTGTGTGGGGTTCTGGAGGGAGGAGTCCTGGTAGTCTGACCTTTGGGGGGCCTGTTGGGAGCTGCCATCGCTGACTCGGTGAGTCCTCGCAGGTGCACAGCCCTGTGCTCGGCCCTTTGCTTGCACTGGCTCACAAGATGGACGGAACCTGAGAGGCCACTGAACCCCAGCCCCTCCTTTTATGGAGGAGGAAACTGAGGCCCGGGGGGTTAAGTAGTTTGCCCAGGGCTACACAGCTAGTAAGTATCCTGGGCAGAACTGAAGTGAGGTCTTCCTGACTCTGTGGCCCGGCCCCCGGCCCAGTGTGCTACCATGTTCCCTCATCACTTGGGCGCCCGGGAGCACCCTGGAAACTCCCTTAGCCCTTTGCCTTTAGTGAACCCGTGAAACAAAGGTCAGGATGAGGGATTGAAGTAGAATGCATTATGCATCAGCAGAAGTGAAAAATAAAAATCAAACCTCCCAGGATAAGTCATGTTGATTTCAGACAGGACAACAATAAAATCGGAGAGTTAAGACAGAAAATCAGTGCGGCTGCATTCTGCCTGAAGCCACCGCCAAAGTGGAGCCATCTCTGGTGGAGCAATCCGCAGGTGTGCCTGCGCAATGTACATGCATATATGTGCACACGCACGTGCGCAGGCATGCGCCCATGGCGGTCAAGGGCAGGCTGAGCAGCCGGCGGGGAGGCCTGCCTAGTTGCGCGTTGGGGCATAGACAGCCAGCCAGCAGGGAGGCCTAGTAGCATGTGGGGGCCCGTGGCACAGACAGCCGGGCCGGTGCGGGCCAAAGCTCGGCTCTTGTTATGTGTTCACAGGACACAGGGGACACTCTGGGCAGTGTGCTCAGGGGCTTCTTCACCATCCGCAAGAAGGAGCCGGGGGGCCGCCTGCCCACCTCCTCAACCTGCTTCAACCTGCTCAAGCTGCCCAATTACAGTAAGAAGAGCATCCTTCGGGAGAAGCTGCGTTATGCCATCAGCATGAACACCGGCTTCGAGCTCTCCTAACCCTGCCCCGTCTTCCCCTCCCCTCTCCCCAGGCTAGGCGGGCAGCTGTTTGCCCTCTGCCTTCCCAGACACTTGTGCACGGCCCGACTCAGGGAGGGACCTTGGGGTGCCCGGAGCAGGAGTAAGTGAATGGCTGAGGGTCTCCAGAAGGCTGCCGGTGATCGCTTACAAATAAATACTGTCCATGTTGTTGAAAAGGCAGGCCTCAAAAAGAAGAGACCCTTGGGGCTTGCCCAGTGTGGGCTTGAACCCTGGTGTAGACTTGGCCTTTCTCCCCTGCTCTCCCCTGACCTGAGGCCTGAGCCTTGTGTCTGGACACGCTTTGCTTCTGTCCTGTTTTGTTTTGTCTGTTTTGTTTAATTGTCTGGAAGCCCTTCCGAGCAAGGTGGTGCAGTTAACGCCCCGGCTCCAAAGGTCAGGAGTAGGACCTGAGCAGCCCAGGAATCAAGCCCTGCAAGCCTGCTGCGTTAGAGCTGCTCCCCTAAAGTTTCTTCAGACCCTTCACTCAGGTCAGGCTTTGCAGCCGTGATGTCCTAAGCCATCACGCACCAAGCAGAGACCCTCCACCCCCCAGCAGGCACAGCCGCTTGTGGGCGGCTGAACCCATTCGCTCTGCCGGTAACCAAGGCAGCTTTCTGGTGGGGACTGTCTCAGGCAGCCCCGGAGAGCATCAGCCACAACACAGGGACCCCAACGCTGCTTCTTCCTGGGAGTCGAGCAAAGTGTGGGCTGTTCTGCCTGGTGCGATGGGAGAGTTCCAGAGACTCCTCTTGGCTGCTGCTCAGATCCGGCCAGAAGGGCCCGTCCTCCTGCATCGGGGAAGCCTGAGCTCTGTCCGATCCAGCTAAGTCATTAGCTCTGAAAGGTCCCTCTCTCACTCTGTTGAAAGAAAGTACTCCAGCCTGATGCCTTCTTACAGAAATGCCGCCAGATTTTAGATTCCTCCCCAAGGTCAGGGCTGATACTCGCACCGTCCCTCCCCTGTGGCTTTGTTCTCCATCACTTCTGGCATCCCCAGCTGCCCTTGAGGACCAGCTCCTGCCCACAGGTGGGCTTGGCTGCTCCTCTGTCCCAGCTGTTTTGTGATGAGAAGTTGACCCACTTAGCCAGGAAGCCACGGCCCAGCCCAAACTGTCAGCCTCCACACCTCCAACTTTGTATTGTCAGATGAAGCTCAGTTAAATTAAATTAAAAATCCAGTGTCCCTGTGTAGGTGAAGAGCATAGCGTGCTCGATCTCTAGTAGGTGTGGGTATGCGGATTCCCTTTTGCATGGTGGCATCAACACGTTGAGTCTGTTCTCTCTACCACCATCATGAGAATGCTTTTCTTCATATGTAGCTGGGAGCATCTGTGAGATCCGCGCTGGTCCAGGGTCAGTGGCCAGCAGAAGGCCCCGTTCCCCTCTCTTTTGAGCTGGCCGGTGTACGTCAGCATGACGTAGCCACAGGTAGCAACGTCCTGGCTCGTGTGGTGTCTGCACAGCCCCGGCTGCAGAGCTGGGCCGGGCAGGAGCCGTTCACACAAGCAGTGAGGCAGCAGGGCCTCCTGAACTGGAAGGTGGTCAGGGAGTGGGGGTTTGAGAAGGAGCCTTGGTTACCCAACAGGTGCAAGCCTGTGCAGAGGTTTGTTTTGGAGACAGTGTCCTGAACAACCACATTTAAAAGCCACAGATTTCCCCTCCCAAACTTCCTAACATTTGTTAATTTTCTGATCCTAACAAGTGAAAAGATCTCATCGTTTCAACCTAGGATACCACCCCCTTTTGATTCTAATGAAGACTACTCCAAGAGCATGCATGTGTGGACATGGGGACTCGTGGTTTAAAAACAACAGCTTGGTTTTAAGATAGGAAGAGGCAGCTTGGCATCCTGATTTTCATTTCCAGCGAATGGGGGTTGGGGGGGAATGGGAGTGCCAGGCAGGTCGGGGAGGGAGAGGGCTCCATGGAACTGTATAAAACTTGCAACATTTGAAGTATTGCACTATCAAAAACGCTGAATCTGTCTTTTTAGCTGATGTACAAACCATGATTCCTGAATATTAGCACCCTGATTGATGACTACAAAAAGGTTTTTTTCATAACTAACTCCTGTATTAAGATGTGATCAAAGGCTTTATTAAATTTTTACTTCCTTGGATGATTGCTTTGTGCCCCTTCGCCCCCATATCTCCCTCTGGTTCACAGTTATAAAAAGGAGCCAAGAGGGGAAAGATTGAGTGAGCTAAGATGGACTTTTTTTTTCCCTGTAGGAAATCCCAGTGCTGCACTTGGCCTGGGCCTCCCAGAGGTCAGCGGAGGTCTATGGCGAGCGTTTATAGTCTTGAGACACATTAAAGAAGAACTGGCCCAAGACAAGAGTTGTGATGGGGAAAAATGATGGGCCAGTCATGTAGCGAGTGTGAGAATTGATGGATAGGCAGCCCATAGTTTTCCATTAGTTTCCAAAGTGGGAGAAATGCAAAATGAGATTTGATTATAAACAGCCCCTGTCCTCATGGATGTAAGACAAACTCTAATACAGAACTTTACCATAAGTAAGTTAGAAATACAGAGCAAAGTGCTATCTGAGGTCTAAGGGGGTGATGATCAGGGAGGGCTTCCTGGAGAAAGGGGGATATGGGACATCCTAGGCAGAGGGAGCAGCTTTAGTAAAGGAATAGGGGTGGGAAGGCAGTCCGTGTTGGCTAGCCCTCTCTGGTTACCAGCAGTCTTTTAATCGTGAAATCTAATGCCTTTTCTCACTCATCCCTTTGCAGCGTTTGACGTGATTGATTATCTGTCTAGGTTTTTATGATGTTGTTTTCCTGGTTCTCCTACCTCTGTCTGCTTCTCACACTCCTTTGCTGCCTCTTCCTCCATGTCATGCCTACTGACTAGGGGTGTTCCTGGGTTCTATCTTGGACTGTCTTCGTTTTTCCCTCTATACCATCCATTTAGCACTCTTCTCGGTTTCTGTGGATCCAGCCATCATCCCTGTGTTCGTGATTCCCAGATCTACCCATCTAGCCTTAGTCTCTCTCCTCAGCTCTGGTCCCCCCCATCACCAGCTGTCCACTGGACATTTCTAATGGAATGTCCCCTGGGCATCTCAAGCTTAACAAATTTAGCGTGTCTGAAACAGAACTTGTTTCCCCGTCCAAATTTCCCATCCTCCCAAGCACCCAGGTTCACAACCTTGCTTTCATCCTCTACTCGCCCTTTCTCTCTGATGGGTCACAAATCCTGCACTGTTTACAGCCAGCACGTCCCTCACCTCAGAGCCCTTCAGTCCACATCCACGGCCAGGCCCTCTCTCACCTGGACCACTTTAATATTGGTCCCCCTGCCCCATCTCCCCTCGCTCCATCCTTCACCCAGCTGCCAGAGGATTCTTCCTAAAGCCAAAGCCTGACCGTGTCAGACCCTGGCTCGGCTAACTCCACTGGCTCTCCAGCACATCCAGGATCAAATATAAAATCATTTGGCATGTAGCGTTCTTTCCGACTTGGCCCCTTCCTGCCTTTCCAGCCTTCCCTCTCCTCGCTTTGTGATCCAGCCACGGCGTTCCTGGTATTTCTCCAGCAACACTTGATCTCTTGTCTCTGTGTCTTTAGTGAATCCTTTCCCTCCCATCTCTGCCTCCTGAAATCCCTGGCTTCCTTCAGGACTGCTCAGTCATCTGCAGGATGCCCCACCACCCACCGGCCAATATCCTTCCCCTAAAGTTACTGCCCGTCCATCTACTCTATGCAGTGTGTATGCACCTTTGTATACACACTGTCTTCACCATTAGTGTGTAAGCTCCTTGGGGGCAGGGATTGCTTTTCACCTTTTCTTAGTATCCCTAGCACACAGCCTCTTGAAGGATGGATTGTAGTGCCGTCTGTGGAGACGAATACAGTGACAGGTAGAATGGTTCCAGACTGTAGGGGGCCTGGAATGGTAAGTGAGGAGGTTGAATTTGATTCTGTAGGCAACTGGAAACCAGATCTGTCCCTAAGGAAGCTATTAGGGCTGACATAGGAAATTTGTCCTTGAGAGGAGAGCAAGTAGAAATGAAAATGCCCGTTCTAAGGTTCTTGCAGGGTACCAAGGGGGTGATAAAGAAGGTCCTGTACTAGGGCAGTGATGGTCAGTAGGAATAGGGATGAGGGAATAGATGCTTTAAGCGATCAGCAGGACTTGGTCATTGATTATCTGTCCAGTAGAATTTCTCCCCGTTAGCCTTTGTGGTATTTATTGCCAGAAGTGTGTAGAAGGAGAGTAGTGCCATGATCTCTTTGGAATGGATGGATTTCCTGAGGACTTCCTGGTAACATCTGAACTGATTGTCAGAGAGCAGCTAACCAGCTGGGAGTGGTGGCTTCCTTTTGTTTTAAGCAGGGTTTTCACTCCTCTTCAGGGCCCTGCCCCTGCCTTCACTGTGGCTTCTGCTACCATGGCTGGAGGGAGGGAAATACTGAAGAGCAAGGAGATTGCATGTGCCTTCCTTGCTATTAATCAGAATATGAAACAACATCCCATGTCATTTCAAAAGAAGGAATGAGGAAGGAGTGGGGAAAATGAGAATCGATCGTGTGTCCTTCCATCAGCTCCAGGATTCCCAGGGCCTTACATTGGAAAACTCGCCATCAGAGCTGGGAGTGGGCTCACTGGAGGTCCTCGGGTGGACACCGTACCACCATGTGGCAGGAACATTGTAGGGGGGATTGCTGGCTAGGTGGTGTGTGAGTGAGGAAGTCTTCCAGGTCAGATCTTCTCCCACCCTCCCCACCCCTTCTCCAAACTAAACCCCCCACATTCTTCCAACTGTTCCTGGGACACAATCCTCTTCAGTCCTAAATATCATGAAGTCACAGGCAGGAAGTGACTAGAAGAGGTAGAACTTGTTTTTAGAGATATGTAGTAGGATGTATGTTTTAGCATGATGTAGTAGGATATAGGTTGGGATTGAGAATCAAGACTCAGGTTTAAATGGCATACTTAGCGTAGCCTTCAAGAACTTTTAGCTAAATCATTTTGGAACCGTACTGTCATTAACCCCCCCTCCCAGGGCTGCCATGAGGATCAGATGGGACGATTTTTATGAAGTGCCTGGCACATAGGAGGTGCTCATTTAGTACAGACTTAGTCTATCCCGTTACATTATGGCGCTGTGAACTGTATGTTCTGAAGTTCCTCCGTGATATTCCTGATTAAGCCGCTCCCCTCGGCCCGTTTGCTAGCTCTGTGAAAGCTGACAAGCGGCAGAAGCCTGTATCGCTGAGGCCACACGGCTGATGTCTCAGAAACCAGACCGGGGGCCCCTGCTCATCTCACCACACCACCCTGCTGCCTGAATGCTTGAAAAATTAAGCTTTTTTGTGACGGAATCTTTGGGTGGCTCCTCATTTTTTATTTTGTCTTTTTTTTTTTTATCCCCAGTGCCTAACACCATACCTCCATCACAGTAAGTGCTTAATAAATGCGTGTTGGCTCCATTTCATGGGGGACTTAAGATGAGACCTCGGTGGTTCTGCCGCTTAGAAACCCCTTGGATGGAGTTTCGAGATAAACCTTCTTTGTTCTAAATGTTACGTTCTTGTGACTTGTGGTATGAGGAGGCCAAGAAGCGAGTGCCTCCTGGAGAATATAAATTCCTTGAAGGCAGGGATTGTTTCTTTTTTTTTATCCTTGTGTCCCCAGCACCGGGTAGAGTGCCCTGGCACACAGTAGGGGCTTAACAAATATTAATTGAATCGAATTGAACTCGTGCCTAGAGGCACTTGTCCCCAAGGGCCAGTGTCCCAGGAGGAAGCAGCTGGCTTTCTGGAGACCTTTCAGTCAGAAAGTCACAGGAGAACAGATGCTGCTTCCAAAGAATTCTTGGATGAAACTGGGCAGTCCTCGTCCCCAAGCCGAGATGCCAACATGAATAATGGCCTTAGGCAGAGCTCACCCTAGACTCACAGATCCAAAGGAGAAGTGAGCTGGGCTCTCCCTTGTCATCAACAAGTTTTATCTTTTTATCTTTTTATCTCTTATCATCCAGGCACTGTGTTAAGTACTGGGGATACAAAGAAAGGCAAAATCCAATTTCTTCCCTCCGAGAACTTTATCCTAAGGTAGAAGGGAACAGGTAAATGGCTAGGTACATACAAGGTCTAAACAGAGAAGATGGAGGGTAATATGGAAGGCTGCCTGCAGCAGGTGGGATCCGAGCCGTGTCGAAGGAAGCCGGGGTAACCAGTGAGAAAGGGTGAGGGGCCAGAGCACTCCAGGGCGTGGGGAGCAGCCAAGGCAAAGGAGTGGAGGCAGCAGATGTCAGCCCGGAGAGCCAGCCGAAGGTGTTTGCCACTGCTGTGGAAAATGTCCAACGCAGAGTCTACTTCAAAAAGGCAGATTGTGTTCCCCGTCCTAAAAATGTGGATGGTCCCACACCGTGCCTGGCACCGCGTAAGGCTCCGTCTGGCTGAGGGGAATCTCAGAAGCCTGTGATAACATGTCCATGTCAAATGTAAGCTTCGTGAGTAAGGAAGGATCGACTCCTCTTTGTCCCCATGCACCTAGCACGGGGTTCCTGGCACACAGTAGATGCTTGATAATTGCTTGCTGGTTGAGTAACAGGGTCCCCTACTCTACACATCGATTGCACGCTCTGTGTTTGTGTGTGTATGCAAGAATGGACATGCCTGTACTGCCTTGAAGAGGAGAATGGGGCAATGGAGACAAGCAGGCGGAAGGTCAGAACTCCTGGGGTCGGGTGCTGATTCTGCCACTGATTACCTGCAGAGCTCAGAACAGTTCGCTTATCCTGTTTCTAGAATAGATGGTGATACTAGTTCATGCCTAGACCCACCTTATCCAAGTTCTTCTATTCAGTCTTCTCGACAGCCTTGTTTAGCAGATAGCGCAAGGATGATTACTCCCATTTTGATTGATTTAAACGATATGCCCGAGATCGCACAGTTAAGTAAGGGGTAAAGTCAGGACTTGAACCCAGGTCTCATGAATCAATAAATCTATCAGTCAACATTTATTAACCTCATGTCTTTAGCTTAAGCCACAGGAATGAGACTCAAAGTTTAGATGAGACAGTCCCTGCCCTTGTGGAGCTTACAGTCTAGTAGGGAGACAGGAGTCCCCCAGAAAATATTCCATGATAATTGCTTTATAGTT